TATTTATCATTAGCAAACTATCATGATCTGTATTAGCTTGCATTTAAGTCATAAAACACACGTGCCTGCTGTGCAGAATGATGGTTGCCTTCCTTCCTGCTCTATTGATAGTTAATTTTTTTCACCAAATGAGCTGCACAGTGACAGCTTGCACTGTGCGTGGTGAACAGTTATCTTTTCTAGTGATTTATCTTGGCTGCACCATATGGCACAGTGGGTATTAGTAAAGGTAGACTAAAGTGATGATTAAGTTTGTCAGCATGGGGGCCAGGCTGGGCTGAGTTTGAAAGAAATCCTGGCTTCTGCATATGACGTCTGAAATCCTCTGAAAGCTCCCTCTCATCAATCTCAAAGTGCTCCTCCAGAACTAATTGAAATCAAAACTTCCAGTGTATGCAGAGCCGGCCCTGGGCATAAGCGACATAGGCATTATTTTTTTTTAGGAACTCAGTCAGGGTCTCAACTTATTTTCTCTACGCCCCATGGCAATGTGTAGAATTGCAGGCAATTAACTTTAGAACTTAAAATGTTTCTCTCTGCCGTCAAGAAAATGTTTTGCCTGCGAGGTGGGGGGGCCTCCCAACCAAATCTCGCCTAGGGCCCCCAAAAGGCTAGGGTCGGCCCTGAGTGTCTGAAAGATGGGAGAAGGAAAGAAAAATAAAAGGTACCACTGGAAAAGCAATCATTGACAAAATAGCTTACATTTTTTATTTCCCCTGAAACTAGAGGTTAACGTGAGAAACGGTAGTAGTGATGCTAAGTGATTGAACATTTATAACACAAATCACAAGCCAAACAAAAGTAGTGCACTATAAAGGGAATAAAGTGCCATTTGGAATGAAGTCAAATATTGCTATACACCACTGTGGGTTATGGGGATTTCAACGGGCTGTAGTAGTGTCCTGGTTTTAGTGTCCTGGTTTTCCCTCTTACTAACTTCCTATATTCCACCCTGATCTTCTTCCTTCTGCTTTGTGTTAAATAAGTGCATTCACTTGATTTACTGAAGGATTAAGATCCTCCAAGACTCCAAATACAACACACAGACAAAAGGACTATTTATCAGAGAAAGAAAGAATGTTTGGTATTGTAATGGTAAGGGGGATCTTCGCTTGCATTGTTTGGAGTTGGATAACACAGTGCCATGGTTTTACATTACACTAATGAGAAAGTCCAGAGTGGTACAGTATGGGAAGGTGATGTACCGAACCTACCTGTTGCCATCACAGTTGTCGTGATTTCTTTTTATACAGTATGATTTTACTCACATAAAAACTGTGGATGGAAACATGGTTTATATAGAGGAAATAACACCACTTTACAAACAGAGTAGGCTATGCAAAGAAACACTTCTGTGGATTAGAATGAATCTCTACATGGTCTCAATTCTGTCTCACACAGTCTCTTCTTTTCCATAGAAAATGAAGAAGCATGCTTATTGTATTCACACCCACATGGTAAAACTGTTTATCAGTTTGATATGGATTTCTAGATTCTTGTAATGTAGATTTGTGCAGGATCATCCTGATTTGATCAATCAAAATCATTTTACACTATTACTTGTAACTGTAATCCCTATTATCAATACTGTATATCCATATGGAAGGATCAGAGACCAATGCTGACTTGCTTGTTTGAGATTTACTGTATCTCATTCATTTATCTAACCGATCCAAACTTTTGCATATGTTTGCTGGGGGAAAACCTTGTTCTATAATCTATAACAGGCATTATTGTTGCCTCAGATGAATGGCCAATACAGCAAAGTTTTGAATTAGAAGCTCTTGAAGAATGGACTTTGTTTGAAACCATTTTCAGCTATCCTCTGTGTGTGGTGGGTATAAAACTGAAGTGTTGCCGGTTCCACAGCACTCTTACAATACTGGGCTAATTTAGATCACTTGCACTAAATATGTGTTCCAGCCAGCAGGTTCTTGTTCCCCTGGTAAAATCCCCCACACATTGGCCACATGGCAGCCAACTGGCTTTGTTGCGGTCTGAGAAGCTAACAATCGAGTAAAATAAAAGTGAGAGAATTAGAAAGCAGCAGCAGTCAAATTGTGTCAAGTCCGAGTGAGTGTGCCAGCGACCTACTGCATTAGCATAGTGCCATGGCCACAGGGGTCTGCTGACGGAAGTCCAGGAGGGGAGGCTGTTTTCTCTGTTTCCCATGGTGGAAAAAAAGGCTAGAACTGTCTGGTGTATTTAAACGATCATCTAACAATAACCTTTGCAGCATATCAAATTATGATTGTAAGTAGTTGATATATTAAACTGCTGTCTATAGATACTTTCCACTTATTTTCAATAATACTGAGTTTCGCCAAAGCCACAGATTTGCTAAATAATGCCTCACACAAAGACTAGTTTGCTCTCTCAGAGAGGGTTGGTTCCCTAATGTGGAGAGAAGCCAGCCAGCCTCCAAAGTGAGAAAGCCAACCATCCACCCAGAACTAAAACCCTAGCAGCAACTCAAAGCAATTTTCTGGCTATTTTGTTGATTTAATCCCTGGTTTGCGATGCTCAGGCACAGTGGAACAAGTGTGTGTGTGTGTGTGTGTGTGTGTGTGCATGCGTGCATGCGTGTATGCCTGTGAGGTGGGGGGTAGCTTTTCGTGCCCTTAGGGCCCAGATCTCAGCGCTCCCATCAGCAGGCTACATTAGTGCTCTTACTGTGCGTCCATCACGGAGGCACTCATCCCTGTCTAATCAGGGGCTGGCTGCTGAAGCTGAGATCAGCCGTGGGATCCCATCCATTCTATCCCTGGGACTGGAGCTCATCTGTCAGCCAGGCTAATCACACGTTAGAGCAGGTTCAGGAGACTGAGCAGAGAGCTGCAGAGCAGCAGCTCCTCACAGCACAGGAAATTACCTGCTCATGACCTCCCTGTGCCAGTGACTGTCCTGGCTGTCAGCCTCCCGCTCTCTGTGTGTAGAGAAGATGTATGATTCGTTGCACACCGTTAGTATATTCTGTGTCACTCTGACCTAGTCTGTCTGCGGCAAGGCGGTAACCCCCTTTTCATCACCCCAGGATAATGGAACTCCCTCCATTATATCTCCATGGCTGAGTCCCAAATGGCACCCTATTCCCTATATAGTGACCAGGTCAGAAGTAGTTCACTATATAGGGAATAGGGTGGCATTTGGGATGTACCCGTATATAACATGTCTAGGGGCTCATGTCTAGTTAATGTTGAATTGGTGTTGAGTCACAACAATTGTCTCTTTTTGGAACATATGGAGAACATTTTATTTTATTTTGACTGCTAAAAGCAATCCTACTTTTAGAGCAACCTGTGTAGCCTATCTGTTCTTACTGAAGGTGAGGAACACCAAATAGATGGTGTCAGCATTTTGACAAGGTGCAGAAAAGTTAGTGTGTAATTAGCTAGGGGGAAAAAACACACCTCTTTTTTGAAGGCAGGAAATCCATTGTTAAATTAGAATTTACACTCCCCCCCTTATACTGAGCCAATAATGAGAAGGTAAAAAAAAACACACTGGGGCTAGAATTGTATCGTATGTCACTCTTAACTTACACAAAGTTACATAAAAGTGACTTAATTCCTGATTGTTAAGCATTACACATTGTCAGATACCCCTTCCATATGTCAAGATCTGTTCTTGTGTTGATAAAGAACATGTAATGTATGCTCCATGTTCAAGCTCTGTTGCCCACAGAGGGGCATATTTTCACTAACCTGTATGTTTTATGTAACGACAAGATCAAAGGAAAGAGCACAAGGTTTTACTGCCAGTCTCCAAACCACAACTCAATCTCAGCACATTTTCCAGCAGACCGTTATTCTTAAAAGAAACAACATGTCTCGGGAGCCTTGCGAAACAGCCCAGTAACTTCTGGTGTAGAAAGAATCATGTTACCAAATTAAACTGAATGTTCGTCTGGAGAGCGGTCAGGAGAATGCTGATCTGGCCCGTTTGTTGAATAGTGGGGAACCCTGCTCTGCATTCCAAATGGCACCCTATCCCCTTTACAGTGCATTACTTTCGACCACTACTTTTGATCAGAGGCCAGGGCTCTGGTCAAAAGTAGGGCACTATAAAGGGAATAGGGTGCCATTTGGGACGCTACCCTGAACACCCGGCCAACACACGGTGCGCTGCAGGGCTAGCCGAAACCCTGCAGATGGTCTCCCCCTCACCGGTTTTAATCTGTCAGTTTGGGTTGTGGTCTGGGGCGTCGGGAAGGGGAGGGAGAAGGGCAGCTCCATGTTCCCCACTCCCTACATACAGGTGTGTCCTGCTGTTCATGGCAGCCTGTCATGAGAAACCCGGACAGAGAATAAGATCCAGCAGCACTCAAGGTCACAACATGGCACCCCTGCAGTAATTGCCCCTGCAGTGTTGGTCCTCAGAGAAAATGGAAAATAATGCCCTAATGTCATCCACTAAATGTCTGTCTCCTCTACTGTGAACAGGGGGGTTGAGATGGGGTGCAGGCAGGCAGGGAGACAACCAGGCAGAAAGGCAGGGCAGGCAGACAGGCAGACCGGCAGGCAGGCAGCAACAGGATCATGTATTGGAGGAGGTATTTTGTTGAGTGAGACTGTGGAATATTAATTGCTTTTAATAGGATACTATGACATTTCACTGTAGCCACATGGTCCCCAGTGAATCAGGCTGTTGTGTGTTGGTCACTGTCGGATCCATACTGCTAGTAAGGTCAAACTAGAAATGTCAAGATGAACAATGAGTTTCGTAACTTCAGAATTGAGAGTGGGTCGAGATTGTGCATTCAATATTTCATAAATAGATAAAGCAGCTACTGTACTACAACATATTTGTCACAATCTCTCTCCTCTTATTTTCCCTGCTATCCCTTACAAACAGTTTATCTGAACCTTCTGCTTCGATTCACACTATGCTTTCTTTTTTTATTTAATTCTAGGACACAAGGGCATCTCCCAGATAGAACAACTCCATTCTCCTGACCGTTCACAAGCTCTCCCAGCAGGACGTGACAGGACCTGGTCATCATGGCGATGAAAGGCCTGCTCCTAGGCTGTGTCACCGTGACCGTGTTGCTCCAGCTCTCCAGCGCTGGCCTGGTCAAGAAGATAATCCGCCACCGCAGAGAGACCCTGAGAGACCCGTCTGAGAACGTGACCCTGCCCCACCCCGACCAGCCGGTGGTCTTCAACCACGTCTACAACATCAATGTCCCCTCCAGCTCCCTGTGTTCCGTAGACGTGGAGAGCCCCGGAGGAACCGATGTCAAGCCCAAAGGAAGTCCAGTCCAGTCGGACATGCAGACCACAGAGCACCTGGAGCACACGGTGGACGGGGAGAACCAGATCGTGTTCACCCACCGCATCAACATTCCCAAGCAGGCGTGCGGCTGTGACAACCACATGCCCGACATGAAGGACATCCTGAGCAGGTTGGAGATGCTGGAGTCTGAGCTGTCCAGCCTCAGAGAACAGTGTGGCAGTGGAAGTGGCTGCTGTGGAGCTCAGATTACAGGTACAGTATGGTACAGTTGCCCTACAGACACTTTAGGGCAGTGTTTCCCAATCCTGGTCCTGACACACCTTATTCAATGAAAGGTTTGATAATGAGTTTATTAGTTGAATAACGTGTGTTAGTGCTATGACAAAAACAAAAGGACCAGGATTTGGAAATACTGCTCTCTGGGCAGTTAGTTGTAGTTTCGACTTAGATAACATTTTTAGATTGGTCTTAATTCTTCTATAGTTCAGTGACCCCTATTCAGACTTGTCTTTGTCTTTTTGAATAATATTTGTGATATAACTTTTAGTATTATAATCACCAAAATTGATTTATGTGTTGCTCCCTCCATGTTTCCGCAGGTGAGGTGGCCATCAAGCCTTATTGTAACGGCCGTGGTAACTTCAGCACTGAGACCTGCAGCTGTGTGTGTGAGCCCGGCTGGAAGGGACCCAACTGCACCGAGCCTGAGTGCCCCAACTTCTGCCAGGACCAGGGGCGCTGCATCGACGGCAAGTGTATCTGCTTCGAGGGCTTCGATGGAAATGACTGCAGCATAGAGCTGTGTCAGGTGGACTGTGGGGTCAACGGGGAGTGCATCGACGCCATGTGTATCTGTGAGGAAGGCTTCACAGGGAATGACTGCACCCATACCAACTGCCTGAACAACTGCCTTGGGCGTGGCCGCTGCGTGGACGATGAGTGTGTGTGTGACGAGCCATGGACGGGCTACGACTGCTCCGAGCTCATCTGCCCCAACGACTGCTACGACCGCGGTCGCTGCGTCAACGGAACCTGCTTCTGCGAGGAGGGCTTTACCGGAGAGGACTGTGGGGAGCTCACCTGCCCCAGCAACTGTAACAACCGCGGGATGTGCGTCAACGGCCAGTGTGTGTGTCACTCCGGCTACAGCGGGGAAGACTGCTCCAAGCTCACCTGCCCCAATGATTGTACTGAGAGAGGCCACTGTTTCAACGGGAGGTGCATATGCGACCCAGGCTTTGAGGGAGTGGACTGTTCCATCTTGTCCTGCCCAGACAACTGCAGCGACAGAGGCCAGTGTGTCAACGGAGACTGTGTCTGCAATGTAGGATTCGAGGGCGACGACTGCTCTGAAATCTCCTGCCCCATGAAGTGTCTGAACCAAGGGAGCTGTTTGAACGGACAGTGTGTGTGCAGTAAAGGCTTCGCCGGGGATGATTGCAGCATTAAGACCTGCCCCAAAGACTGCCTGGGACACGGCGAGTGTGTTGACGGCAAGTGTGTGTGCTTTGTGGGCTTCACAGGCAAAGACTGCAGTGAGCTGACTTGTCCCAACAACTGTCTGAACCGTGGCCGCTGTGTCAATGGCCAGTGTGTGTGCAACCAAGGCTTTGCTGGTGAGGACTGCAATGAGAAGACGTGTCCCAATAACTGCCTGGAGAGGGGTTACTGCGTGGACGGGAAGTGTGTGTGCTTCGAGGGATTCCAGGGCCTGGAATGTTCTGTGCTGACCTGTCCAGGAGACTGTGAGGACCAGGGGAAATGCATGAACGGAGTGTGTCTGTGTAACGAAGGCTTCATCGGAGAGGACTGCTCTGAGGGTAAGAGCCAAAGGATGTGTCCACCCTATTCCCTTTATAGTGCACTATATTTGACTAGGGCCAATGCGGCTCTGGTCAAAAGTGGTGCACTATATAGGAGCCAGCCAGCCAGCCAGCCAGCCAGCCAGCCGATGTGTCCACCCTATGTGTCCACCCTATGTGTCCACCCTATTCCAGCAGCCAGACAGACAGACAGACAGATAGATCCTTTGGTTGATGGGAGTATTGTTTGATGTGATGTCATTTGTTTATGTTGGCTGATATTTTTGTGGAACATTTCCACATGATGACATTCATTGAAATGCTAATGTGTCTGGCATCACAACAAATGCTTTAAATGAATAACGTTGTAGTTTAATGTGGTTGTCGAATGATGACATACACTATCGGTCTAAAGTTTTAGAACACCTACTCATTCAAGGGTTTTTCTTTACTTTTAATATTTTCTACATTGTAGAATAATGGTGAAGAAATCTAAACTATGAAAACACATATGGAATCATGTAGTAACCAAACCAAAAAGTGTTAAACAAATCTAAATCCAAACACATTTTATATTTGAGATTCTTTGAATAGCCACCCTTTGCCTGATGACAGCTTTGCACACTCTTGGCATTCTCTCCACCAGCTTCACCTGGAATGCTTTTCCAACAGTCTTGAAGGAGTTCCCACATATGCTGAGCACTTGTTGGCTGCTTTTCCTAAACTCTGCGGTCTGACTCATCCCAAACCATCTCAATTTGGTTGAGGTCGGGGGATTGTGGAGGCCAGGTCATCTGATGCAGCACTCCATCACTCTCCTTCTTGGTCAAATAGCCCTTACACAGCCTGGAGATGTGTTGGGTCATTGTCCTGTCGAAAAACAAATGATAGTCCCACTAAGCGCAAACCAGATGGGATGGGGTATCGCTTTAGAATGCTGTGGTAGCCATGCTGGTTAAGTGTTCCTTGAAATCTAAATAAATCACAGACAGTGTCACCAGCAAAGCACCCCCACACCATAACATTTTACATTTTAGTCATTTAGCAGACGCTCTTATTCAGAGCGACTTACAGTTAGTGAGTGCATACATTTTCATACTTTTTTCATACTAACACCTCCTCCTCCATGCTTTATGGTGGGAAATACACATGCGGAGATCATCCATTCACTCACACCGTGTCTCACAAAGACACAGCGGTTGGAACCAAACATCTCCAATTTGGACTCCAGACCAAAGGACAAATTTCCACCGGTCTAATGTCAATTTCTCATGTTTCTTGGCCCAAGCAAGTCTCTTCTTATTATTGGTGTCCTTTAGTAGTGGTTTATTTGCAGCAATTCGACCATGAAGGCCTGATTCACACAGTCCCCTCTGAACAGTTGATGTTGAGATGTGTCTGTTACTTGAACTCTGTGAAGCATTTATTTGGGCTGCAATTTCTGAGGCTGGTAACTCTAATGGACTTATCCTCTGCAGCAGAGGTAACTCTGGGTCTTCCATTCCTGTGGTGGTCCTCATGAGAGCCAGTTTAATCATAGCGCTTGATGGTTTTTCGACTGCACTTGAAGAAACTTTCAAGGTTCTTGAAATGTTCCGTATTGACTGACCTTCATGTCTTAAAGTAATGATGGACTGTCATTTATCTTTAATTTGAGCTGTTCTTGCCATAATATGGACTTGGTCTTTTACCAAATAGGGCTATCTTCTGTATACCCCACTACCTTGTCACAACACAACTGATTGGCTCAAACACATTAATTCCACAAATTACCCTTTAAGAAGGCACACCTGTTAACTGAAATGCATTCCAGGTGACTACCTCACGAAGCTGGTTAAGATAATGCCAAGAGTGTGCAAATCTGTCATCAAGGCAAAGGGTGGCTATTTGAAGAGTCTCAAATCTCAATATATTTTGATTTGTTTAACACTTTTTTGGTTACTACATGATTCCATATGTGTTGTTTCATAGTTTTGATGTCCTCACTATTATTCTACAATGTAGAAAATAGTAAAAATAAAGAAAAACCCTTGAATGGTGTTCTAAAACTTTTGACCGGTAGTGTATGGGTTGACATTTTCCAAGGCTATTGGCTTTATCATGGAGAATTTATATATAATAACTCAGATCAGAGAAACATTTCAAATTATACTGTTCGAAGCTCACCCTCTATTGAATTGTAGTTGTGATGCTGTAATTTTGAGACCAAAAAGTATACACTTAGCCAATCTTGACATTTTAATTTCCCTGCCCTATAAAACTCTGGCCTACTTGAACTTGATAGTGATTTATAGGCATTGTTCTTTGCATTTGTGATACATATCATAGTTCTGTGTTTTTCCATGATTTGATCAAGCTTCCATGATATAAACAACAAAAACCGCTTATCACGTTAAAAAATATGAATATGTCCCCTAACATGTTGTGGTTTTGTGTCTCTCCAGTGTCTCCACCCAAGGACTTGACAGTGCTAGAGGTCACCCCAGAGACAGTGGACCTCTCCTGGGCTAACGAGATGCAGGTGGCAGAGTACCTGGTCAGCTATGTGCCCACCGCCCTTGGAGGCTTGGAGCTGGACATGCGTGTGCCTGGGGACAAGAAGACTGCCACCATCAGTGAGCTGGAGCCTGGTGTTGAGTACCTGATCAGTGTCTTCGCTGTCCTCAACAACAAGAGGAGTGTCCCTGTCAGTGCCAGAGTGGCAACACGTAAGTCAGGAGTAGCATAAAGTTGACCCAAGACGCTGACCTTGGGTCAGTTTAGCATTTTCCCCACTAATGGTTAAGGTTAGGATTGGGGGAGAGGAAGCTGTTCCTAGATCTGTACCTAGGGTAAACTTCACCTCGGAGCCGTAAGACACCTCTACGGTGCCCATATTCGAACAGTCTCAGTCTCAGCAGGCACTCGTGATAAGGCTGACTAAAGTCTGACTGAGACTGTCCTAATATGGACACCGTACACCCTTAACCTCACCTTTGATGCCTGACTGCTCTGGTGTAATGCAAAAGTGCCATTCATAAAGGGCAGTCAATAAAAATCAAATAGAACTTTTAATATCAACAAATTGATTGCAGCTTATGCAAACATCTGTTGCCAATGTAATTTCATTAAATCACTAATTTGTACCTGGGATGTTGTAGTTTTTCAATGTTGTTGACCTTGATCTACCCGTCATTGGAACCAGTTAGCCGTGAATCCATGTCTGCTTCTCAAATGGCACCCTATTCCTTATATAGTGCACTACTTTTGACCAGCGCCCATAGGGCTGGCTCTGGTCTAAATCAGTGCACTATATAGGGAATAGGGTGCCATTTGAGATGTAGCCCATGTGCTGGGTGTCCTGAGGGTTAAGTAAACAGAACATCAAATATGTTCTAATTTGTCCGTCTCATCCCCTTAGATCTCCCTGAGCCTGAGGGACTCAAGTTCACATCAGTGAAGGAGACTGCAGTAGAGGTTCAGTGGGACCCCCTGGACATCCCCTTTGATGGCTGGAACCTCATCTTCAGAAACACTGTGAGTTAGCAACAGTAGTTCCCTCATCTTCAGAAACATTGTGAATTAGCAACAGTAGTTCCCTCATCTTCAGAAACACTGTGAGTTAGCAACAGTAGACACCTCATCTTCAAAAATATTGTGAGTTAGCAACAGTAGTTCCCTCATCTTCAAAAACATTGTGAGTTAGCAACATGTCACGATCGCTGGAGGAAGTGGACCAATGCGCAGCGTGATGAGTGAACATACTTATTTATTATTAGAGAACAAAACAACAAAACGATAACGTGATGTCCTTGGTTACAAACACTAACCATACACGGAACAAGATCCCACAACACACTGTGGAAAACAGGCTGCCTAAGTATGGTTCCCAATCAGAGACAACAAGCAACAGCTGATTCACGTTGCCTCTGATTGAGAACCACACCGGCCAACATAGAAACAAATGAACTAGATAATAAACCTAGCACACAAAACACATAGAAACAACACACCCTGGCTCAACATAACAGAGTCCCAGAGCCAGGGCGTGACAGTACCCCCCCCCCCCCCAAAGGCAGGACTGCGACCACGCCAAACATAAACCGAACAGGGGAGGGCCGGGTGGGCATTCCTCCTCGGCGGCGGATCCGGCTCCGGGCATGACCCCCACTCCCTCTCTAACCCCCCAAAGCGCCCCTGGTCCGGTCTGGCCCTGCTGGCCGGAGCTGGACTGAACACTGGTGGAGCGGATTGCTCTAGCTCCGGAGTGGAGCAGCTGACCGGTGCCGGACCAGGCACCGGTGGAACAGGCACGGGCTGTGCCGGACTGACGACGCGCACCACAGGCTGGGTGCGGGGAGCAGGGACGGGCCGGACCGGGCTGACGACGCGCACCATTGGCTTGGTGCGGGGAGCAGGGACGGGCCGAACCGGGCTGACGAAGCGCACCACTGGCTTGGTGCGGGGAGCAGGAACAGGCCGGACCGGGCTGACGACGCGCACCTTTGGCTTGGTGCGGGGAGCAGGGACGGGCCGAACCGGGCTGACGAAGCGCACCACTGGCTTGGTGCGGGGAGCAGGAACAGGCCGGACCGGGCTGACGACACGCACCACAGGCTTGGTGCGGGGAGCAGGAACGGGCCGGACCGGGCTGACGATGCGCACCACAGGCTTGGTGCGGGGAGCAGGAACGGGCCGGACCGGGCTGACGATGCGCACCACAGGCTTGGTGCGGGGAGCAGGAACGGGCCGGACCGGGCTGACTATGCGCACCACAGGCTTGGTGCGAGGGGCAGGAACATGCCGGACCGGGCTGGCGACGCGCACCACAGGCTCGGTGCGAGGGACAGGAACAAGCCGGACCGTACTGGGGACACACACCACTGGCCCTACGCGGGGATCAGGAATGGGCCGGACCAGACTGGCAACACACCCCAGTACCTCTCGCCGTGCCTCTACATTCTCCTTCCCCCTGGTGACCAGTGACTCCCTTAACCTGGCGGCCTCCTTTGCCAACCCGCTGAACCACTCTATCCCGGCCTCCTGCTGCCCCGTCGTCCACGGCGTGAGCCCCCCCCCCCCCCCTAAACATTTTTTGGCCGTCTCTCCTCCCCGTGGGCCAGGCCTCCATGGCTCTCGCCAGACTCTCGCTCCTCTGCTCCCAAGTCCAGCCTCTCTCCTCCTCACGCTGCTTGACCCAGTCAAGGTTGATATTCATTAGAGTCCTCTCTGGCGTTGGCTCCTGGACACGCTGCTTGGTCCAGTTATGGTGGGATCTTCTGTCACGATCGCTGGAGGAAGTGGACCAATGCGCAGCGTGATGAGTGAACATACTTATTTATTTATTAGAGAACAAAACGATAACGTGACGTCCTTGGTTACAAACACTAACCATACACGGAACAAGATCCCACAACACACTGTGGAAAACAGGCTGCCTAAGTATGGTTCCCAATCAGAGACAACAAGCAACAGCTGATTCACGTTGCCTCTGATTGAGAACCACACCGGCCAACATAGAAACAAATGAACTAGATAATAAACCTAGCACACAAAACACATAGAAACAACACACCCTGGCTCAACATAACAGAGTCCCAGAGCCAGGGCGTGACACAACAGTAGTTCCCTCATCTTCAGAAACACTGTGAGTTAGCAACAGTAGACCCCTCATCTTCAGAAACACTGTGAGTTAGCAACAGTAGTTCCCTCATCTTCAGAAACACTGTGAGTTAGCAACAGTAGTTCCCTCATCTTCAGAAACACTGTGAGTTAGCAACAGTAGACCCATCATCTTCAGAAACACTGAGTTAGCAACAGTAGACCACTCATCTTTAGAAACACTGAGTGAGCAGCACGCCCCTCTCCTGTCTCCCATGGGGCATTGCATGTTGTTAATGGATCTCTCTCTACATATTCCACAAGGAGGAGGTTGAGATCTTCAGAAGCCCACAGCCTATCATTATTCCCATTATCCCTGTGGTAGAAATCATATACGCCCCATAACAGAACAGACACCCACTCCAAGCTTCAGTAATTGCCCTAGCTATGTGTCGGTGTCCCAAATGGCACACTATTCTCTATATAGTGCACTACTTTTGACCAGAGCCCTATAGGTCTATGGGTCCTGGTCAAAAGTAGTGCACTATATAGGGAATAGGGTGTATGGTGCCATTTGGGATGCAGATGATGTGAAACAGGGTTAGTATCCTATGGAAATAGTTTAGCCGAGCCAGTATTCAAAGTCTGTTTTCTTTAAGTCTCTAAGTTTAAATGTGACTAAATGTTCTGTGAGGCTTCTGTTGACAGCTCTAATGGCCATGTACTGCAGCCATGAGGCACAGAATGATTATTGTTTCTAAAAGCTTTTTTTCTTTTCAAGAACATATGAGAAATAGTCCTAGGACATGAAATCCACAGTTCATTACATTCAGTTCCCCCCACACCCCCTGTAGTTCAAACATCACAGACAGGACCCCTGAGTATGATGTGGCTGCCCTATTCCCACACCAAGTGTTTGTCCCAAATGGCTCCCTACTGCCTATATAGTGCACTACTTTTAACCAGAGCCCAATTGGCCCTGGTCAAAAGTAGTGCACTGTAAAGTGAATAGGGAGCCTAAGCTTGACTTTGAGGTGGGTAATGATAGATACACTAGATAGATAGGTACTTTATTAATCCCCAAGGGGAACTGTGCCATCATGAAACATGCCATACCATTTTAATGATTGGTGTTGTTTGGTGTTGGACAGAAAGAGGAGAATGGGGAGATTCTGAACTCCCTGGGCAGCCCTGACACCATGTTTGAGCAGTCAGGGCTGGGACCTGGTCAGGAGTACGAGGTCAAACTGGAGGTGGTGAAGAACAACACCAGCGGACCCCCAGCACGCAAGAACGTTTTCACAAGTGAGTTTATATCCATTCGTTTACAGGACAATTGACTCCTCCAGGCCAATAACATTCAGTTGGAAAATTAACCTGAATGTTGAGCCTGCGTAGATGGTAGCTTGTAGGACGAAAACCCACCTAAGTATTTACACTTGGCGACAGCTATATGGAGCCAGGACACTTTCTTAACCCCCATCTTTAAAAAAAATCTAACCCTGAGAATGGCTTATTATTATAATTATGGCCCAGTTGACTAAGCCTTGAACTGTTCAAATTGTAGCACTGTGATACCCATGAGTATCACGATGGGTAAATGCAAGGTTTACAGAATCATATATACAGTAGGCCTTTGACTTAATGCCTCAAGGCTTGAATGACTTATCCCTGAAGAAGCTTTGAATTAAATGTTCAGAATTCATTCAGAATTCGATTTTTTCATCCTTGCCAATGCTGGCTACACACAATTAAAGGTAAATAACTAATTCAAAATATGGAGAGCTTCACACAGGGACCTGCCAGCATCAAGTGTATTGTAATCCTTGTTTTCATGACATATTTGCATGGGAATAAGCCATAAACCCCTCTTACGCCATTCTGACCGTCTGCATGACATTTTAAATATGATTTACAGCAATACAGACAGACAAAGAAGCGGCTTACAGCTGTCAAAGTTACACACAGAAACACATTGTCACCTTGATTCAATCGATGTCTTGAATATCCCCTCTGCTGCAGCTCTGAGTTTGTGTCCCAAATGGCACCTTATTTCCTATATAGTGCACTACTTTTGACCAGGGTCTGTTCAAAAGTAATGCACTATGTAGGCAATAGGGTGCAATTTGGGATGCAGTCGGACAGTCTATCCAAGGCATCCTGAAGTTCCAACATTGCGTGATTAGCTCATTACTTTTCATAGCATCGTCTTGATTTACTAGAGGCAGTAAAAAGCCATCACTACCCCCTTGGAAGGTTTAACAGTTATGAGGAAATCATATCTCCATCAGGCTGCTGCTATCAAGGCTAATGGCTTGTATCAGGGTTTGGGATCAATATAACTACAGGTTTTGGGGTTGAAACTATACTCCACCTGCCAGCTTGGTTCCCACCAACTCTCTCACCAGCCAAGCAATTTTTAGGTGGCTCGAGGGGAGGTTAAAATATACTGCACCACCAACACATTCAAGACTAGTCATGGAGAATGGTGTTTTATTATATATATATATATATATATTTTAAAGCTTTGTGGAACATTCCAGCACTGAAATGGGATCTGAACAGAGTGTGAGCTTTCACCCCTGCCCCAGAGAGTTCTGTTACAACAAATCAGAATAAGGCGATTTCAATATGCTGAAGCAAATGTTCTTCTCAAGGTTCTCTACTAACCTTTATTGCCTCACCTCCATCCCAAAGCAAGGTCAGACAATCTCTGCTTATTTATGGTTTGAAATCTGCCCCCTGACTTGCCAGAGTAAACAGAACAAGGAAAGGAAAAGCCATTAGCTACCTGACATCCTCTTATACACCTCCTCTTTAGGATCGAAGAGTAGTTTACATTATAGCGCTGACTGACACTATAGGACTAGCATTTATGTGTGTGAAGTCTATGGAGCTGTTGAACATTGGAACCTGAGCGCCATACTGGGTGGTGTTAAGCATACACCCACAAACACACACACACACACACACACACACACACACACACACACACACACACACACACACACACACACACACACACACACACACACACACACACACACACACACACACACACACACAGCAGCACTGGGATTATGGGGTCCCCTAGATCTCCATGTCACTCAAGGCCTCTTTATGTCTGCCATTAACACACATAGACATACTGTAGTGGGATTTGCATTCTGGGGGTCTAATTGCATGGAGTGATCCCATCCCCCCTCACTCTCTCCTCCCCTCCCCCCATGGTGTGTATGTGTGTGGGAGGGAGGCACCACTCAGGAGACAATCACAACCCTGGAACAACACACACGCACGCATGCACTCACACGTATGCACGCACACGCGCACGCACACACACACGCACAAGCACGCAGCTAGGCTCATTGGGGGTTACATTTGTGCTAAGCTCCAATGCAGATTCCATGTCTTATCTGTCTTTTGCAGAAGGCTGACTTTCCTGAAGTTGCTGAATGTGACAAATCAGTTCCATCACACTGTAGGGAAAGTGCCTTTCATGCTCCAGGTTTTGATGTGTACTTACATGAACAACCTCATGCATGGATGCATACTAGAAAATACAGTGTTTTCAAACCATTATTGGTAGTAAATGCTCTCACTATTTATATTCAACCCTGTAGCAAAGGTTCTGATGAGAGCTCCTACTCTCCTCTCTCTGCAGAGATCGATTCGCCCAGAGAGGTGGATGTGCGTGACGTGACGGACACCACGGCGCTGGTGACCTGGTTTCTGCCAGGTGGCCATGGTGGACGGGGTGAGCGTGTCCTACTGGCCCAGCGACAACCCCTCAGACAGGAGCACAGTGGAGCTGTCCTCCAGCGACACACAGCACCACCTGGGACAGCCTGAACCCTGACACAGAGTATGAGGTGTCTCTCATGGCCAAGAGGGGAGAGATGACCAGCGTGCCCGTGTCTGAGACCTTCCTAACAGGTAAGACAAGAGCTGTATCCCAATTGGCACCCGATTCCCTTTATAGTGCACTACTTTTGACCAGGGCCCATTACTGCTCTGGTCAAAAGTAGTGCACTATATAGCATGGTTGGGGTCAATTCCAATTGAATTTGAAATGTAATTTAATTATTGAATTCACTCATGAAGTGGAGAATGTACATTGAATTAAATTCGATTTTTCAACAATCGTCAAGTTACGCAATTGGAATTGAATTGGAATTGTTTGGACCGTTTGAATTAGAATTGTAAAAACATTTTTATTTAATCTTTGGAATTTAATTTAATTGGAATTCAATATTTGTATATGTCCCAATTAATATAATTAATCCAGTATCAAAAATTGACTGCATGATTTGTTTTAAATCATTTCAACTTGTATTTCTATATTTCCAGTATAGCTAGGCTGTCTGAACAGATCAGCATGAAAGCCTGAGGGAATGTAATTTGAATTTGAATATGTAGAAGTTTTGGGGATAATATTGAATTGGGAATTATTGGAATTTACCTAACATTGGAATTGAGAGGAATTGAATTATCTCAGAATTCAAATAATTGAATTAAATGGAATTTATAGGGAGGGAATTTAATTAGAATTTAATTTGTGGAATTAACCCCAATCCTGCTATATAGGGAATAGAGTGCCATTTGGGAAGCAGCCAAGGGACCTGGAACAAGCCTTTCATACAGCACTAGGGTTGCAAAAAAGTGGTGGTCTGTTCTCAACTCGGTGTCTGGACCACACATGGTACTGTATTTACAAGAGAATCATAACATTCCCACCTCGACTGATCTGTGATTGGATGTGTTCCAGACCTGGATGCCCCATGGGATCTGCAGGCGGTAGAGCTGACTGACGAGAGCATCACTCTGGAGTGGAAGAACAGCCAGGCTAAAGTAGACAACTACCGCATCAAATACGGCCCCCTTTCTGGAGGAGACCACGGAGAGCTGCTGTTCCCTACCGGACCCCTGGACACCACCCAGGCCAAAATCAGTGGTAAGTAATCTCATTTTAATATCTGTAAAACCCTGATGAAAAAAACAATAAATATGTTTTTTTAGCAACTTCAACTGCCCTCCAAGAGTTTCTCTTCCAAGAACTTCCTCTTCACTTCTGTTAGCGCCTCAATTCAATCACCTTTGTTGGAGAGCACGGTAGTGGCAGTGTTCCCTTCCCTTTGGTAAGACAGAACCCCTCCCACTAGTCTAGAGTTATGACAGGATGCTGTGGTGGTGGTGATGTTGTGTAATATCTGGTGGTGCTAGTCTAATTTCACACTCTACAGAGGAAGTGAACTGTGCTTCTGGTACATTTTCAGTTTTTAGATACTTTTGTTTGCTTTGGGTTTACATTAACTCATTACCTCTTTAAAAATGGATTGAAAAATGATTTATTTCAATGAGATAACAGCTTTAAAACAACCATCCTGTCTTTGTGTAAATTAATAGATATTGTTTTTCAATGTAAACAGCGATGTCGCTTTACCAACTATTCCGCCGCCAAGCATTTGTGGTCCTCTTTCAAAAATGTTCTGTATTAAATTCAATGCACTTACTATATTTCCAAATGGGCTGCTTTGTTTTTGTGTCATGAAACATTTGCCCAGCCACAAAAGCCCCCCACTTTATTAGAAAACAGCCAACAGGAGATTGCATTCGGGCCTTAAATGGAATAACACTGCTGCTTGTTTCAATGTGAGCTCCATCCTGGTCAAACAAGAAAAGCAGGTAGGGCCTTTTTTCATCCTCGTGCACCGGCTCCCATAATGCTCCATGCTTTGAGGCGGGCGGGCGGGCGGACGGACGTGTCTTTCTAAACCATGTGCCACTGCATCGAAGGATTAGGCTCCCTGGCTGAGAAAAAAAGGAAAAAGGTTCCAAACGGGTAATAGTGTCTTTGTCTGAGGCCCATTCTTTGTCCTTGGGTGCCCCATCCCCTGTAAATAAGGCAGTGGGTGCGTCCCAATTACCTACATAGTGTTTTACTCCCTACATAGTGCACTACTCAAAAAAGTGTACTATATAGGGAATAGGTTGCCATTTGGGACACACACAATGTGTCTATTCAGCTGACTGACGTCCCCCTCCACTCCTCTCCGATCCTCACACACCTCAGCACTTTTTTCACACAGTTATTATCTGTAATTGCCTTCACACTTGTGATTTTATTGATAATGACTTTCCTCTGCATTAGGTGTAATTTCATGCTGCAAGACTCCTAGTGCCTGGCTGCCTAGTGACCTCTGTGGGAGTTAATAAAGGAAATAATGGCAGTTGGACTGAGGACCGTTAATTGCACCGCACACAGCGATCTCAAAAGCCTCTTATATCATAGCAAATGTTGTTTCTGGCCCATAGAGAGCCTCTTCTAGAGCCATCAGTGCAAATAAAGGTTCCAAATACAGGTTCCAGAATGAAGAGGCTGAAAATAAACCCAATTATGCTTGAATCTCTTAAATAGGCAATTAAGACCTTGAAGAGCTTCACTCTTTTTCATTGTTGTCGAAGATATTAGCTGCAAACAGCTGGATGTTTTTCTATTACACTATTTTCATAGATCAAAACCTGATCATTGGTCAATACAAAAACATATATTCCTCATACTATTTGCATGCATGATCCGATACAATAAGTGTTATTTGTCTGTGTGTTGTGTAGGCCTGAGGCCTGGGTCAGAGTATGGGATGGGAGTGACAGCCGTGAAGAGTGAGCGAGAGAGCCTTCCTACCACCACCAACGCTGTTACAGGTGAGATCTATTAACTTTTGCTGTATTGTAAATAAATACATTGTTTTCATTTACTGTCATGGATAGTAGTAATAATCTACTAATAATAATTGCCATTCAACTATTTACTTCCGACAATCCACAAATACACTACCGTTCAAGATATGGCTTTTTCTTTGCAACTCTGCCTAGAAGGTCAGCATCCCGGAGTCGCCTCTTCACTGTTTATGTTGAGACTGGTGTTTTGCGGGTACTATTTAATGAAGCTGCCAGTTGAGGACCTGTGAGGCGCCTGTTTCTCAAACTAGACACTCTAATGTATTTGTCCTCTTGCTCAGTTCTGCACTGGGGCCTCCCACTCCTCTTTCTATTCTGGTTAGAGACAGTTTGCGCTGTTCTGTGAAGGGAGTAGTATACAGCGTTGTACGAGATCTTCAGTTTCTTGGCAATTTCTCGCATGGAATAGCCTTCATTTCTTAGAACAAGAATAGACTGACAAGTTTCAGAAGAAAGTTATTTGTTTCTGGCCATTTTGAGCCTGTAATCGAACCCACAATTACTGATGCTCCAGATACTCAACTAGTCTCAAGAAGGCCAGTTTTATTGCTTCTTTAATCAGCACAACAGTTTTCAGCTGTGCTAACATAATTGCAAAATGGTTTTATAATGATCAATTAGCCTTGTAAAATGATAAACTTGGATTAGCAAACACAACGTGCCATTGGAACACAGGACTGATGGTTGCTGATAATGGGCCTCTGTACGCCTATGTAGATATTCCATAAAAAAATCAGCCGTTTCCAGCTATAATAGACATTTTACAACATTAACAATGTCTACACTGTATTTCTGATCAATTTGATGTTCTTTTAATGGACAGAAAAATTGCTTTTCCTTCGAAAACAAGGACATTTCTAAGTGACCCCAAACTTTTGAACGGTAGTGTAGTTCTCTCCGCTTGTCTTGCACTATTTGAAAACTACAGTCAGACTTCCTATTCTTGTTAGCCTGAAATACACTCCTTCTATACTTCATATTCTATATTCTATATTCTCCTTCTTTATTCTATATTCTCCTTCTATATTCTCCTTCTATATTTCATATTCTTTGTTCTATATTCTCCTATATTCTACTCTTCAGCATTGGATGCGCCTAAAAACCTGGAGGTGGAGTCTTCCACTGAGACTCAGTTGGTGCTGGTGTGGCAGAAGCCAGTGGCTAAGATCGACAAGTACAAGCTGCTATACGTGTCAGCCGACGGGCACAGGGCTGAGTTGACACCCTTATCCAATGACATCAAGTACACCCTGAGGAACCTGATGCCTGGCATGCTGTACACTATCACCCTGACCGCTGAGAGGGGACACAAGCAGAGTGACCCCGCCACCATCTCAGCAGCAACAGGTCAGTGACGACAGTACACCTCTATCTCCTCTAGCCTTGTCCCATACATAGAATTAGAATGAATAGAGCAGGCATCCCCATTCAGGTCAGTTATGCCACAATGGGAAGACTGGCGGCCATATTGAGTGTCCCCTCATTCTATATACAGTATATGGTCCCATACTGCAGTAGCCACAAGTCAGTGTGGACAGAAGCTCTCCAAACCTGGTCCCATACATATGTTTTTATGGTCTCATAATGTATGTAAACGAGCCACAGGTCAGTGTAAACAGTACTGGAATTTAATTGACAATAACTGTCTTGACAATGACATCTATCAAGTTGGCAAGAGCACAAACTTATCTGGAACCAGGCTAACAGTACACCTCTCCTAGCCTGGTTCCATACTGTATGTACAGTATCTAGCCTAACTATCTTCTAACGTTGTCAAGCTGTTCATTGGCTAAAGCACAAACAGACTGGACAACTAGGCTAAATCTCTTCACATGATGAGTTTTAGAACAGAATTCTGTTAGGCTATACCTTAGTACTACCACTATTAATCTTCCAGGTGCATTAACTATCAACAATCTCTTACTGTATCTTAAAAAGCTATAGGAGGGATTTACACTGTCCATCATCCATGTTGATGCTTTATAATAGGGGTATGGAAGAAAGCAAAAAAAAAATGAATTCTGTGAGAATGAGTTTGGACTGTGTTTTGTGAGGTTTTGTGTTGTAGGGTTTTGTATTGTAGGACCCCAGCCTTTTTCTCATTAACCAAAGATTCAGTTTTCCCCTCCAGGCCATCAGCCAAACCTAGGCAATGAATTGAATTCATTGTTGCTACTTTTCTGTCTGTCTCTGTTTCCCCCCTCAAGCCTTTAATTTAACTGCATGTGGGTTTATTTTACTGAAATACGGAAAGAAAAAGAAAAGATGATTGTGACATTTTTTTGCTAGCGCCAGTGGTCAGGGTGCTTCCAAACCAAACATCTGAGAAGAAAGTCCTCCAGTTATGTAACAGGGTACCCATTACTGTGTATGGCTATGGGCTAAATTGATATGGCATTAGGAAAACGCTGGTATGGTTCAGAATAACTTTATTTTGTTGAATCTGTGTCCCATGCTGCCAAGGTGCAGAATGGAGGTGGTGTGTACTCCATACAAAGGCCATTCATGTGATAATTGTTCTTTTGTGCGATTTGACCACGATGAACTGTGGGTCTGTCAGATAAAAGGACACATGCGGGGGCCCCTGATAAAACATTGTGTCTCTGAAATCAACACTCCTCTAATCCGCATGCAGCATTCGTTCCTCCGACCGTTTTATAATCTCCAGACGTGTAATACAAACACAAAGCATGCTGCATGGTAGCAGGGATATAAAGGGATTGGACAAGGGGGGAGGGGTGTGGGGGTTGCCCACCCTTTGCCCACCCTTTCGCCCCCCAGGTCTGGGCCTTACTTGTGTTTGACAATCATCAGGCGTTGAAAGGCTTACAAGAATCTGAGTTCAAGTGTTTGGAGACCCACTGGAGAGAGCAAATAAGAAACCCAATACCTCTGGCAGGAAAAAAAGCTTCAGAACAGTGGTTCTGAATTTTGAGGCTATTTCAAATGCTGAGCAAGTAACCAAAATTCATTTGATATAATAAACCTCCTGCAGCTTTATTGTCTCCTGATCTTCCTGTACATTTCTGACTGCTGGACGGATCTGGTACTTTCAAATTACCAGGATTCTCATAATATAGGCTAATCAGTAAATTCAGGGACCCATCGAGCCTTTCTGTAAATTGAAGGATCAGGCACAATGAGAGAGAACTGTTTGATTGATCATATCTTGAGCAATAGTCAATAACCATACTAAACATACTAAACATATACAGTGCCAGTCAAAAGTTTGGACACACCTACTCATTCAAGGGTTTTTCTTAATTTTTACTATTTTCTACATTGTAGAATAATAGTGAAGACATCAAAGCTATGAAATAACACATATGGAATCATGTAGTAACCAAAAAAGTGTTAAACAAATTAAAATATATTTTATATTTGAGATTCTTGAAAGTAGCCACCCTTTGCCTTGATGACAGCTTTGCACACTCTTGGCATTCTCTCAACCAGCTACACCTGGAATGCTTTTCCAACAGTCTTGAAGGAGTTCCCACATATGCTGAGCACTTGTTGGCTGCTTTTCCTTCACTCTGCGGTCCAACTCATTCCATTTAATCTCAATTGGGTTGAGGTCGGGAGATTGTGGAGGCCAGGTCATCTGATGCAGCACTTCATAACTCTCCTTCTTGGTCAAATAGCCCTTACACAGCCTGGAGGTGTGTTGGGTCATTGTCCTGTTGAAAAACAAACAATAGTCCCACTAAGCGCAAACCAGATGGGATGGCGTATCGCTGCAGAATGCTGTGGTAGCCATGCTGGTTAAGTGTGCCTTGAATTCTAAATAAATCACTGACAGTGTCACCAGCAAAGCACCCCCACACATCACACCTCCTCCTCCATGCTTCACTGTGGGAACCACACATGCGGAGATCATCCGTTCACCTACTCTGCGTCTCACAAAGACACGGCGGTTGGAACCAAAAATCTCAAATTTGGACTCATCAGACCAAAGGACAGATTTCCACCAGTCTAATGTCAATTACTCGTGTTTCTTGGCCCAAGCAAGTTTCTTCTTATTATTGGTGTCCTTTAGTAGTGGTTTCTTTGCAGCAATTCGACCATGAAGGCCTGATTCACACAGTCTCCTCTGAACAGTTGATGTTGAGATGTGTCTGTTACTTGAACTCTGTGAAGCATTTATTTGGGCTGCAATCTGAGGTGCTGTTAACTCTAATGAACTTATCCTCTGCAGCAGAGGTAACTCTGGGTCTTCCTTTCCTGTGGCGGTCCTCATGAGAGCCAGTTTAATCATAGTGCATGATGGTTTTTGCGACTGCACTTGAAGAAACATTCAAAGTTCTTGAAATGTTCCGGGATGCCTGACCTTCATGTCTTAAAGTAATGATGGACTGTCATTTCTCTTTGCTTATTTGAGCTGTTCTTGCCATAATATGGACTTGGTCTTTTACCAAATAGGGCTATGTTTTGTATACCACCCCTACCTTGTCACAACACAACTGATTGGCTCAAATGCATTAAGAAGGAAATAAATTCCACAAATTAACTTTTAACAAGGCACACCAGTTAATTGAAATGCATTCCAGGTGACTACCTCATGAAGCTGGTTGAGAGAATGCCAAGAGTGTGCAAAGCTTTCATCGAGGCAAAGGGTGGCTTTTTTGGTTACTACATGATTCCATTTGTGTTATTTCATAGTTTTGATGTCTTCACTATTATTCTACAATGTAGAAAGAAAGAAAGAAAGAAAGAAAAACCCTTGACTGATTTGATGTGTCCAAACTTTTGACTGGTACTGTATATGTTTAGTATATTTAGTATGGTTATTGACTATTGCTCAAGATATGATCAATCAAACAGTTCTCTCTCATTGTGCCTGATCCTTCAATTTACAGAAAGGCGTGAGTGTTTGTGTGTGTGTTGGAGTGACACTGTGTGTGAGTGTGTAGGGCCCTGAGAGTGTGCATAGAGACTGAAATAAAAGGTCAATAAAGATACAAGGTAAACTCGGTCCGTGTAGCTATTTTGTTAGCTATTCATTAGTCGTATTGCTTGGGGATAGAAGCTGTTCAAGAGCCTGTTGGTGTCAGACTTGATGCACTGGTACCTCTTGCCGTGCGGCAGCAGAGAAAATAGTCTATGGCTTGGGTGGTTGGGGTCTTTGACAATTTTCTGTTAGTCTTTTGACAATACTTTCTGTTAGTGTGTGGTTTTGAGTCATTTGAGTGTAATCAGTACTATAGGGTGTGTCTTCAATGCCCAGCCAGTCATCCAAGTTCTCATCTGTCTTTCTATTTGTGCTGTATGTGTAAGTTACCAGTCCAGCCACTGTGGAAGTTCTTTGCTCATTAGTAATTTCCCCAATACAAAAACAAAAACCTGTTTTAACCTCTTCCCACTCAAATCATGCCTCTCCCATAACCAATTATTACCTAACAATACCTCCTCCCCCATTGTGTTTCCCTCACTTTGATGCAGTAACTGTAACATATATCTGTCCACATAATAGAACCACCCCACCCAGACAAAAACCATTCAGTTCAGATGAGGCCTGGCATGGCCTGCGGTGGATCTACCTTTGATCCACCCTAAGCAGACTATCTGCCTGTCAGGACCTGCCATGAGAGAAAAAGCACCTGGAACATTTCTGAACTGTCAGTCGGCCCCCGTGTTATCTGTACCATGGGTAGTGAGTAGTGATTGACTGCAAAGAGACAGCAGAGACCCAACAGGTGCATTGATTCATCCTCCCAACCAATCAATAATAGTAATTATCAACCATTCACATTCTGCGGATTACAATGTTGTGGACTGAATGGATAGTGAACAATGTACAGAAAAATCTCACTTCAAGACTACTTGCTTTGTTTGCTGTTAAAGCAATTGAGGATTTTGGCATGTGCTTTGAGAATGTAGAAACAGATTAAGCAGTTGTTACAATAAGTAATAATAAGTATTTATATGCAGTGTTTTGGGCATAAGCGACATAGGCGGTGACCCCGTGGCAAACTGTTTAGAAATTAACTTTAAAACTTGTTCTCTCCGCCATCAAGAGGGGTGACACTAAAATGTTTGCCCGCGAGGTAGGGGGGACTCCCAACCAAATCTTGCTTAGGGCACGAAAAAGGCTAGGGCCCAGCCCTGAGTGTTGTCCAATGTATCAGTAATCTATTTTCAGTTGGGATTTAAGTTGGGTTTCAGCCATCTGTTTTGACAGCTTAGAGTACATAGACGAACCTGGCCTCTGCATACTTCTGCTGTCATGGAGAGAATAATACCTGTCATTTCAGATCAGTTAGCCCCCACCCACTCTCCAATAAACACTCACATAGAGACCAGGCTGCACACACACACATAACTTTGTTATTTTGAGGTCTTCTATCACCTGCTAAAAAAACCTGCCTCAAATTAGTTGTCCCTCATCTACTTATTTGGTCACTTTAAAAGGGATATATTTGAAATTATCCTTTCAAAGCAAATTTAAAATGATTATTTATTTTGACAGATTTTAAGTTTTTCCATTGTATACGCACAGTATAAACAATACGGGTATTGTATCATTGTTAGTAAACATCAGTCAAAGCACATGATAGTTCAGCTGTTCCCAGATAATGATGATTCAGCAAATGGATGGATGGAGAGTCAGTGGTTTCTTCAAGTCCCTGAGGAGCTTTTGTTTCATTCTGTGAAGGCTCTGTTCTGTATGCACCCCCAGTTCTCCCTCCATCCCTAGACTCAGACCCTCTGCTCCACATTCTCATGCTCACATTGACACTGTGGCCTGGAGCCTGGAGCCTGGAGCCTGGAGCCTGGAGCCTGGAGCCTGGAGCCTGGTATTGGGGTGCCAGGGAGTGTTGGGGCTTGCTGGGGCCATGGCTCAATGTGGCACACACTCAAGTCTGCTCTGAAGCCCATTGTCTGCATGTTAATGATCTGAAGAGAAACCAGCCCCAACCCCAACGTTTCGTAATTGTATGTTACTGTAGTTCATGGGAAAATATGGCTGTTTTTTCCATTTACTGAAAAGTTTGTTTTGGAGCTACCATGTTTTCTTCAGACAGCGACGATTGACATTAGCCAAAACATAATCTATATACAGTGGGGAAAAAATGTATTTAGTCAGCCACCAATTGTGCAAGTTCTCCCACTTAAAAAGATGAGAGAGGCCTGTAATTTTCATCAACTATGACAGACAAAATGAGGGAAAAAAATCCAGAAAATCACATTGTAGGATTTGTTATGAATTTATTTGCAAATTATGGTGGAAAATAAGTATTTGGTCACCTACAAACAAGCAGGATTTCTGGCTCTCACAGACCTGTAACTTCTTCTTTAAGAGGCTCCTCTGTCCTCCACTCGTTACCTGTATTAATGGCACCTGTTTGAACTTGTTATCAGTATAAAAGACACCTGTCCACAACCTCAAACAGTCACACTCCAAACTCCACTATGGCCAAGACCAAAGAGCTGTCAAAGGACACCAGAAACAAAATTGTAGACCTGCACCAGGCTGGGAAGACTGAATCTGCAATAGGTAAGCAGCTTGGTTTGAAGAAATCTATTGTGGGAGCAATTATTAGGAAATGGAAGACATACAAGACCACTGATAATCTCCCTCAATCTGGGGCTCCACACAAGATCTCACCCCGTGGGGTCAAAATGATCACAAGAACGGTGAGCAAAAATCCCAGAACCACACGGGGGGACCTAGTGAATGACCTGCAGAGAGCTGGGACCAAAGTAACAAAGCCTACCATCAGTAACACACTACACAGCCAGGGACTCAAATCCTGCAGTGCCAGACGTGTCCTCCTGCTTAAGCCAGTACATGTCCAGGCCCGTCTGAAGTTTGCTAGAGTGCATTTGGATGATCCAGAAGAGGATTGGGAGAATGTCATATGGTCAGATGAAACCAAAATATAACTTTTTGGTAAAAACTCAACTCGTCGTGTTTGGAGGACAAAGAATGCTGAGTTGCATCCAAAGAACACCATACCTACTGTGAAGCATGGGGGTGGAAACATCATGCTTTGGGGCTGTTTTTCTGCAAAGGGACCAGGACGACTGATCCGTGTAAAGGAAAGAATGAATGGGGCCATGTATCGTGAGATTTTGAGTGAAAACCTCCTTCCATCAGCAAGGGCATTGAAGATGAAACGTGGCTGGGTCTTTCAGCATGACAATGATCTCAAACACACCGCCCGGGCAACGAAGGAGTGGCTTCGTAAGAAGCATTTCAAGGTCCTGGAGTGGCCTAGCCAGTCTCCAGATCTCAACCCCATAGAAAATCTTTGGAGGGAGTTGAAAGTCCGTGTTGCCCAGCGACAGCCCCAAAACATCACTGCTCTAGAGGAGATCTGCATGGAGGAATGGGCCAAAATACCAGCAACAGTGTGTGAAAACCTTGTGAAGACTTACATAAATGTTTGACCTGTGTCATTGCCAACAAATGGTATATAACAAAGTATTGAGAAACTTTTGTTATTGACCAAATACTTATTTTCCACCATAATTTGCAAATAAATTCATAAAAAATCCTACAATGTGATTTTCTGGATTTTTTTTTCTCATTTTGTCTGTCATAGTTGACGTGTACCTATGATGAAAATTACAGGCCTCTCTCATCTTTTTAAGTGGGAGAACTTGCACAATTGGTGGCTGACTAAATACTTTTTTTCCCCACTGTACAACACTATGAAGTATCCATACAAACACTGTCGGTCTGTCTCCATTGGTTGATTCGTTTGTGTAATGTATGTTCAACACACTTCTGAAAGAAGTCTAGAAAAAAAAATTGCACTCCTGGGTTGCGTCCCAAATGGCTATTCCCACTGTTCCCTATATAGTGCACTACTTTTGAGCAGGGCCTCCATGTCCCTCTCTACCTCCCTTCCTTCTTCCCTGACTGGCTGGCTGACTAGCTAAAGCAGGCCTGCTCCGCTCCTAACGAAGAGCGACAGCACCCGGGAAGTGTCTACTCTGGTTTTCATTTTCCACCACTTCTTCTCACAACAAGTTCCCTCGTTTCACGTCAGCCAAATCCTCTGGGTTCACCTTGCGACCTTAACGTTTGGTGTAGTGTTCTAATGAGTTATGTCCCTGTATCTAGCCAGGCAGCACTGAGGCGGCACTGAGGCCACTTCGAGGTCTGTATGCTGCTGTCTGTATGCTGCAGTCTGTATGCTGCTGTCTGTATGCTGCTGTCTGTATGCTGCTGTCTGTATGCTGCTGTCTGTATGCTGCTGTCTGTATGCTGCTGTCTGTATGCTGCAGTCTGTATGCTGCAGTCTGTATGCTGCTGTCTGTATGCTGCTGTCTGTATGCTGCAGTCTGTATGCTGCAGTCTGTATGCTGCTGTCTGTATGCTGCTGTCTGTATGCTGCTGTCTGTATGCTGCTGTCGCTGCTGTCTGTATGCTGCTGTCTGTATGCTGCTGTCTGTATGCTGCAGTCTGTATGCTGCAGTCTGTATGCTGCTGTCTGTATGCTGCTGTCTGTATGCTGCTGTCTGTAAGCTGCTGTCTGTATGCGGCTGTGCAGGCGGTCGATCTACTCTCTCTCTTGCTCTCTCTCTGACTTCTGCCGAGCACTTCCTCTAACAGCTGTAGACTCCCGCTAGCTCAGCTCCTCTACTCAGCCATTATTAGCTACTGCTAATGACTAGTTAACACAGTTGACTTTTACAACACTGTATACGTACAGACCCATTTGCCCTGATGTCACCCAAGCGCTTAAAACTCTAGTAAAACTCTGGCTGACTTGAATGTTCCTTTTCTTCTGAATGTAGATGACTTTTCGTATTAGTGTATTAAGGAACTGATGCACAAATATCATGTGTTCTTTTGCAGTCATAGCGTCAATAAACTGAGGGTTGAATTTGATCAAACTAGCTGGTAAATAACAATGTACCTACCTACACCAATAAAATGCATGTTGTTACTTTCATACTCACCTAGGGTTTCAAAATTCCTGGAACTTTCAATAAATTCCCTGGTCTTTCAGTAATCCTGGATGGAGGACTCTGGATTTCCTGTTTATTCTCTACTGATCACGGGAATCCTCCAACCGGGATTTCGGGAAAACCAGGGAATGCATTTATTGATCGAATTTTGCAACCCTACACTCACCACAGTGGATGTGATGTACAGACACTAAGCACAAGGTTTTCTACCCATGTATAGTTGTGTCAAAACCTATTAGGATGCCTAAGTGGTATAAACACTTCACTTGTGCCTGACACAATGAATACTGTTTTCAAAGTCAACATGAAAATCATTATAATTCTTGGAAATAACCTCTTCATTTTCCCCAGGATGGGGTATGTAACAACTCTTAATTATTGCATTTTGTGAACCTGCTCTTCTTGTTTGAATCATATGGATCCATAGATTGATATGGATCCATAACCAATTGTGATGTCTATTGTACAGACAGATGGAATAACTGTCACTTCCTGATCTTCTGTAATCTTCATAAGAACTTATTTAAGTACTCTTGAGGTCTAGGGGACGAAAACAACATGTCTTCCCTTATCACCCAGAAGCTGAACCCATCGTGGAGAATCTCTCAGTCTTCGACATCACCCCAGACAGCTGTAAAGTGGCCTGGTCAGCTGAAGAGGACCTCTTTGATAGTTTTGTCATTATGATCAATGATACTAGCGACGACCTGGCTTCCCAACAAGAGGTGGTTGTGCCCGGGGAAGGAGAGAACAACAGTGCTTACTGAGCTAATTGAGGACACAGAGTATGAAATTGAGCTCTATGGGGTCATTTCGGGACGGCTCTCCAATTCTATTTCCATGGTGGCAAAAACAGGTACGCGGTATGACATCACACCAGCAATGGCCTAGGGCTGCTGGATAGATGTTAGGAATCTATTCATTACAACTGTAAATTATATATTCTCAATGTCTCCATTTTTACTATTAAATTAACAGCATGGAAACAGGGTCAATGTTGGGTCAATGTTGAATATCTTCATCATTGAAGCCATTTTTGTTTACTAACCTGATAACATTGTGTGATAATATTAGTTCAAGGCAGCAATCTGGTAGAATTATAATTAGTTAGCTTTGCAAATTAATTATTAAAACCTGCTTCGGCTGCCTTGTGTGTCTTGTGTCAGCAGCTATGTGTGATGTGTCTCATTGTGGTTTGTTTACCCGGTTGGACGTGTCTGTTCAGTGTTCACTGTCCTGTCATTGTCTTGTCTGTCAGCACTCCTGAGTGGTTCCAGTGGAATCATCCAGCAGCCCTCTCATCTAAAACCAGCCCCAGTGTCTGTGAACCAACACACTCTCTGTCTGTCTGTCTCACTGTCTGTCTGTCAGTGTAAACACCACACTCAGCTTCTGATGGCCTCTCATTCACAGGGGTCCAGAGAACTGCTCAGGAGATTTACTAATCTCTTCATTTGCTCCGTTTTTTTTGTCTATATATCTGTCAAGTTGTCTCCAATGTTGTCTTTAGCTGGCTTGCCCCAAATGGGTTTGTCTAATTGTCTCTAAACCGTAAAGGGAAAATTGTCTGTCTGTGTGTTGAGTGTCTGAATGGCTCTCTTTCCCCTGAATTCTCTGGGGCTTCACTCTCGGGTCCAATGGCCCTGCTGCATGTTTCACTTTAGTATGTCTGCAATGGGGGCAAATTAATCTCCCCCTGTCGTGTCTGTCACGCAAGATACTGTGGCTCAGTGCTGACGACAGGCGCTGGAAGCCCTGGCCTCTTTGTTTCAGTCTGTCTCCTTTTCTCTACTTTAATTAGTGGTTCTCAATGCCGGCGTATCTGCTCACACAAAATAACAGAGTAATGTGTATTTTCTGGGTTATTAATGGATTTAATATGATATTTATGGATGTATTTAGGGATGAGATCTTTAGGAATGCTTTAGGGATGTATTTTCCAGTTGTTTAGAAAATATGTATAATATACACACTACCGGTCAAAGGTTTTAGAACACCTACTTATTCAAGTGTTTTTCTTTATTTTTGTACTATTTTCTACATTGTAGAATAATAGTGAAGACAGCAAAACTATGAAATATCACATATGGAATCATGTAGTAACCAAAAAAAGTATTAAACAAATCAAAATATATTGTATATTTGAGATTCTTCAAATAGCCTTGATGACAGCTTTGCACACTCTTGGCATTCTCTCAACCAGCTTCACCTGGAATGCTTTTCCAACAGTCTTGAAGGTTCCCACATATGCTGAGCACTTGTTGGCTGCTTTTCCTCACTCTGTGGTCCGACTCATCCCAAACCATCTCCATTTGGTTGAGGTCAGGGGATTGTGGAGGCCAGGTCATCTGATGCAGCACTCCATCACTCTCCTTCTTGGTAAAATAGCCCTTACACTGCCTGGAGGTATGTTGGGTCATTGTCCTGTTGAAAAACAAATGATAGTCCCACTAAGCCCAAACCAGATGGGATGGTGTGTCGCTGCAGAATGCTGTGGTAGCCAAGTGTGCCTTTAATTCTAAATAAATCACAGACAGTGTTACCAGCAAAGCACCCCCACACCATAACACATCCTCCTCCATGCTTTACGGTGGGAAATACACATGTGGAGATCATCCGTTCACCCACACCGCGTCTCACAAAGACATGGCGGTTGGAACCAAAAATCTCCAATTTGGATTCCAAACCAAAGGAACATTTCCACCGGTCTAATGTCCGTTGCTCGTGTTTCTTGGTCCAAGCAAGTCTCTTCTTCTTATTGGTGTCCTTTAGTAGTGGTTTCTTTGCAGAAATCCGACCATGAAGGCTTGATTCACACAGTCTCCTCTGAACAGTTGATGTTGAGATGTGTCTGTTACTTGAACTCTGTGAAGCATTTATTGAACTTATCCTCTGCAGCAGAGGTAACTCTGGGTCTTCCATTCCTGTGGCGATCCTCATGAGAGCCAGTTTCATCATAGCGCTTGATGGTTTTTGCGACTGCATTTCAAGAAACGTTCAAAGTTCTTGACATTTTCCGTATTGACTGACCTTCATGTCTTAAAGTAATGATGGACTGTCATTTCTCTTTGCTTATTTGAGCTGTTCTTGCCATAATATGGACTTGGTCTTTTACCAAATAGGGCTATCTTCTGTATACCGCCCCCACCCCACCTTGTCACAACAGAACTGATTGACTCAAACACATTAAGAAGGAAAGAAATTCCACAAATGAACTTTTAAGAAGGCACACCTGTTAATTCAAATCCATTCCAGGTGACTACCTAATGAAGCTGGTTGAGAGAATGCCAAGAGTGTGCAAAGCTGTCATCAAGGCAAATGGGTGGCTATTTGAAGAATCTCAAATATAAAACATATGTTGATTTGTTTAACACTTTTCTGGTTACTACATGATTCCATATGTGTTATTTCATAGTTCTGATGTCTTCACTATTATTCTACAATGTAGAAAATAGTAAAAAATAAGAAAAACCCTTGAATGAGTAGGTGTTGTAAAACTTTTGACCGGTAGTTTATTTGTAACCAGTATTATTTTATTTTGATATGTGATGAGGCATTATTTGATATCCTAGGATCTGGTATTCATTTCTCTTCACTTAAAAGCCTGCCCACTGAGTCTTTAGCTAACTAGCTACCTGTCTTCTGTTTGTTTGTTGTCCTCTCTATCTTTTATCCTATGCCAGGGCTGGGCACACCCAAGGGCATCCGTTTCTCTGAAGTCACTGATACCTCTGCCACCGTACACTGGGCAATCCCCAGAGCTCGAGTGGACAGCTACCGTGTCATTTATGTCCCTGCTCAGGGAGGTGAGTACATACAGATATAGCTATACTATACATACCAGTGGAGGCTGCTAAGGGGAGGACGGCTCATAATAATGGCTGGAACGGATCAAATGGAATAGCGTCAAACACATAGAAACCATTCCACCCCAGCCATTTCCACGAGCTCGTCCCACCCCAATGAAGGTGCCACCAACCTCCTGTGATACATACCTATACTGTACATACAGTGGCTGCAAAACCAGGGGTAAGTCATTGACACATGTGGTGTGGTCATATGGAATTAATGTTCTCTGTAAAGAGAACTGATCTATCCTGCCATCTAGTGGCTGTTCTGTCTATTTGAGAGGATGTGTCAGTTTGAAAGCAGGGAGTCAACACAACTTTGATGTCAACTGCTTCATTACTGGTTCACTATTTCACCTCACTACTTGATGATAATGAAAACATTCTATGAAGTTAATACACATAATGCTTGAAAACATCCTTTTTAATGCCGTGTATTATAATACACTAATCATTTGTTATGACACTGACTTTGTATACAGAATCAGACGTCTGACTGACCTTTTGACCGTCCATGTCTTCATGTGTGTGTGTGCAGGCGCTCCCAAGACTGTGACAGTGGGTGGAACTGAGTCTCAGACCGTGTTGCCCAACCTGACCCCTGGAGTCACCTACCAGGTGACCGTCATCTCTGTGAAGGGACAGAAGGAGAGTGAGCCAGGCTCCAGCAGCGTCACCACAGGTGTGGGTCACACCTGTTCACAACACAAGATCTGCATCCCAAATGGCACCCTATTCCCTATATAGTGCACTACTTTTGACCAGAGCCCTATTTGGGATGCAGCCAAGACTTTGGTTTATGTTAACGCAAGACTACATACACATACTTTAGACACTGAGTGTGCAAAACATGAAGAAGACCTTCCAAATATTGAGTTGCACCCCCTTTTGCCCTCAGAAAAGCATCAATTCGTCGGGGCATGGACTACAAGGTGTCAAAAGCGTTCCACAGGGATGCTGGCCCATGTTGACTCCAATGCTTCCTACAGTTGTGTCATGTTGGCTGGATGTCCTTTGGGTGGTGGACCATTCTTGATGCACACGGCAAACTGTTGAGCATGAAAAACCCAGTAGCATTGTAGTTCTTTACACACTCAAACCGGTGCGCCTGGCACCTACTACCATACCCCATTCAAAGGCACTTAAATATTTTGTCTTGCCCATTCACCCTCTGAATGGCACACATACACAATCCATGTCTCAATTGTCTCAAGGCTTAAAAATCATTTTTAACCTGTTTCCTCCACTTCAGCTACACTGATTGAAGTGAATTTCACAGGTGACATCAATAAGGGATCATAGGTTTCACCAGATTCACCTAGTCAGTGTGTCATTCCTAATGTTTTGTACACTCAGTGTACATCATCACAACAACGATAGGTTTGTCTTGGTATGCTCTACAGAAATGGTTGGATTCATTCAATATTTCTAAAGAAAGCATCAAACATTTATGATGGTAACACGTCTCTAAAGGCTGAGCGCGTAGCCTATTGGGAAAGCTGTTAGTGTGTACAGATGGAGCATGGCTGGGGGTGGATAGGCTTTGTGTTTCCGTTCAACAACAGAACATGGCTCTATCCTTGGGGAGGTGTTTGATGTGGTTCTGCTCAGAGTAACCATCGTGTGTGTGTGTGTGTGTGTGTGTGTGTGTGTGTGTGTGTGTGTGTGTGTGTGTGTGTGTGTGTGTGTGTGTGTGTGCGTGTGTGTGTGTGTGTGTTCTATGTGACAGCTCTGGACAAGCCCCGTGGCCTGACTGCAGTCAACATCACTGACACTCAGGCTCTGCTCCACTGGCAGCCTGCCATCGCCACTGTAGACGGATATGTCATCACCTACAGTGCAGACACTGGTACGGTATCACAAACACACACACACCATCTGGATGTACTGTACTGTATATTACAAGGGATTATGGGAGAAAAGGCATTAGGCCTCCCATTGCGTGTGTTGTATGTTCCTTCATTGTTTGGATTTTAGAAGAGATCTAAATCTTCAGATTGCTTTAATCTCCTTACAGTATATTGTAGACAGATGCTGATCGGGTCCTTACTGTAAGGATATTCTCCTTTACTGTCTCTGTCTCTGTCTGTCTCTGTCTGTCTCTGTCTGTCTCTGTTTGTCTCTGTCTCTGTTTGTCTCTGTCTGTCTTTTTCTCTCTGTCGGTCTTTCTCTGTCTCTGTCTTTCTCTGTCTCTCTCTGTCTTTCTCTGTCTCTCTCTGTCTTTCTCTGTCTCTGTCTCTGTCTTTCTCTGTCTGTCTCTGCCTGTCTCTGCCTGTCTCTGTCTGTCTCTGCCTGTCTCTGACTGTCTCTGCCTGTCTCTGACTGTCTCTGCCTGTCTCTGACTGTCTCTGCCTGTCTCTGACTGTCTCTGCCTGTCTCTGACTGTCTCTGCCTGTCTCTGACTGTCTCTGCCTGTCTCTGACTGTCTCTGACTCTCTTTGTCTGTCTCTGTATTCTTACTGTATCTGTGTGTTCTGTGTGTGTAGTTGCCCCAGTGATGGAGAGAGTGTCTGGGAACATTGTGGAGTTTGAGATGAGCTCCTTGACCCCTGCCACCCACTACACTGTCAAGGTCTATGCCATGAGAGCGGCTGCTAAGAGTGCCGCCACCACAACTGAGTTCACCACTGGTGAGTGGCCTAGAGGGCCTAGACCTAGAACATTCACTCCCACACACAAATTCAAACTCTCACTTCCAAGTCTGCCAGTTGTTTTTTACCCCCTTACCATTTCAAACAGACAACCTGAACCTGCAAAAAGAAGGTAAAAAGAAGATGAAGTACTCAGTCTGAACTATGCAATCTCTCTCCTAGATGTGGATGCCCCTCAGGACCTGGCAGTCAGTAACATCCAGACAGAGAACGCCATGTTGACCTGGAAGGCCCCACGCGCTGACATCACTGGCTACATCCTCAGCTTCGAGTCAGCTGACGGCACAATCCGGGTAAGTAGTGGTCTGCTGGAACCATAGAAATAGAACCGTAGAAATATAGTAGATTATATTCCAATAGAATCTGTTATAATATGGAACCTATTTCTATGGGTGGAACAACCTTGCATTCCTTAAATTCTAAAATAGATTATTGTTTTGTCCAAGAGGTCATAATGATGCGTCATTGGGGTGTAAGAAAAAACCTTTTTCTATTGATGAATAAATATTCAAGAAAATCACCTATATCAGTCTATATTAGGATAGACACGGTCTCACAGTCTCAGGTAATATGGACACTGTCCTATCTAAATCCAATGTATTTTTATTAAGTATTATTCATTCTGTATCTCTGGCGTATATTCTGACTACTGGGTTGTGTTGTGGTGTTCCTCCAGGAGGTTGTTCTGAGCCCCACAGCCACCTCCTACAACATGGCCCAGCTGAGTGTCTCCACTGAGTACTCTGTCAGACTGCAGGCCATCGCAGGGCCCAAGAGGAGCAGAGTCATCACCACCGTCTTCACCACCAGTGAGTGTGTTACCACAGTGATGCCGGAGTCCAGTGGTAGCTCTGCCAACTCCGGACAGAACATATCCCCTGGCAATAGGGTTATGGATCCTGCCTCGGCCCCTACTCTCTGTTTTCCTCTGGATCTGTTTCCCTGACTGTCCCTGTCCATAAATGCTAAAATACGAAAATATATATATTTAACAAAGAGTGTAATGAATAATGAATAGAGATGGTCTCAGTGGAGGTCACTGTACCCTCTGTTCTGTGCACCATCCACTGAGACCATCTCCATTCATTATTCACCTCAAGCTTAGAGTTTGTTGGGCAGATGGAACTGTTTAGTAACTAATCCTCTGTGCGTGTGTTTGTGTGCGTTCCTGCATGCGTTTGTGTGCGTGTGTGTGTGTGTTTGTGTGTGTGTGTGTGTGTGTAGTTGGCGTGCTATACAAACACCCCAGGGACTGCTCCCAGGCCTTGCTGAATGGAGACACAGTCTCTGGCGTTCACACCATCTACCTGGGTGGAGATGAGAGTCAACCCATACAGGTCTACTGTGACATGGCCACGGATGGAGGTGGATGGATTGTAAGTCACTGGCTAGTATACTGTACAACCCAACTTGGTAACACTTCCTATGAAGAGCATACGTATAATGCTTTATATAACGTCCTTTATCATGCTTTATAATGTGTTATGACACTGACTATATAAACAAACTCATAAGAGGTTATAAAGCTTATTGATTCAGATGTATCTAATGTAATGTAATGGATCTTAGTCCATAGGATGTTTGAATGAGTGAGCTGATGTAGTTTGGCCCCATTCCATGCAGGTATTTGTCCGACGCCAGAGCGGTAAACTGGAGTTCTTCCGCAACTGGAGGAACTACACTGCTGGCTTTGGTGACATGAACGACGAGTTCTGGCTCGGTATGATCATATTATGTTAAACATTTCAACACACTAATTGATTTAGGTATAGGACTATTGTATGATTAAATCAAATCAAATCAAATCTTATTTGTCACATGCGTCAAATACAACAGGTGTAGACCTTACAGTGAAATGATTACTTACAAGCCCTTAACCAACAATGCAGTTTTAAGAAAAATAAGTGTTAAGTAAAAAATTGATAAGTAAAAAATAAAATCTAATTTAATCTAAATAATTAAAGAGCAGCAGTAAAATAAAATAACAGTAGGGAGGCTATATACAGGAGATACCGGTACAGCGTCAATGTGCAGGGGCACAGGTTAGGCGAGGTAATTGAGGTAATATGTACATGTGGGTAGAGTTAAAGTGACTATGCATAGATAATAAACAGAGAGTAGCAGCAGCTTAAAAGAGGGGGTGGGGGGTGGTGGGGTGAGGGGACAATGCAAATAGTCCGGGTAGCCATGATTAGCTGTTCAGGAGTCTTATGGCTTGGGGGTAGAAGCTGTTAAGAAGCCTTTTGGTATAGATGTCCTGGATGGCAGGAAGCTTGGCCCCAGTGATGTACTGGGCCGTACGCACTACCCTCTGTAGTGCCTTGCGGTCGGAGACCGAGCAGTTGCCATACCAGGCAGTGATGCAACCAGTCAGGATGTTCTCGATGGTGCAGCTGTAGAACTTTTTGAGGATCTGAGGACCCATGCCAAATATTTTCAGTCTCCTGAGGGGGAATAGGCTTTGTCGTGCCCTCTTCACGACTGGCTTGGTGTTTTTTGTAGTTTGATGGTGATGTGGACACCAAGGAACTTGAAGCTTTCAACCTGTTCCACTACAGCCCGTCGATGAGAATGGGGGTGTGCTCAGTCCTATTTTTTTTCCTGTAGTCCACAATCATCTCCTTTGTCTTGATCACATTGAGGGAGAGGTTGTTGTCCTGGCACCACTGTTGTGTCACCGGCAAACTTAATGATGGTGTTGGAGTCGTGCCTGGCCATCTGTGGATCTGTTGGGGCGGTATGCAAATTGGAGTGGGTCTAGGGTTTCTGGGATAATGATGTTGATGTGAGCCATGACCAGCCTTTCAAAACACTTCATGGCTCCAGCGTGAGTGCTACGGGTCGGTAGTCATTTAGGCAGGTTGTCTTAGTATTCTTGGGCACAGGGACTATGGTGGTCTGCTTGAAACATGTTGGTATTACAGACTCAGTCAGGGACTTGTTGAAAATGTCAGTGAAGACAATTGCCAGGTGGTCAGCGCATGCTCGGAGTACGTGTCCTGGTAATCCGTCTGGCCCTGCGGCCTTGTGAATGTTTAAAAGTCTTACTCACATCGGCTACGGAGAGCGTGATCACATAGTCATCCAGAACAGCTGATGCTCTCATGCATGCTTCAGTGTTGCTTGCCTCGAAGTGAGCATAGAAGTGATTTAGCTCGTCTGATAGGCTCGTGTCACTGGGCAGCTCGTGGCTGTGCTTCCCTTTGTAGTCTATAATAGTTTGCAAGCCTTGCCACATCCGACGAGCGTCGGAGCCGGTGTAGTACAATTCAATCTTAGTCCTGTATTGACTCTTTGCCTGTTTTATGGTTCGTCGGCGGGCATAGCAGGATTTCTTATAAGTGTCCGTGTTAGAGTCCCGCTCCTTGAAAGCGGCAGCTCTAGCCTTTAGCTCAGTGCGGATGTTGCCTGTAATACATGGCTTCTGGTTAGGGTATGTATGTACGGTCACTGTGGAGACGACGTCATCAATGCACTTATTGATGAAGCCAGTGACTGATGTGGTGTACTCCTCAATGCCATCGGAAGAATCCCGGAACATATTCCAGTCTGTGCTAGCAAAACAGTCCTGTAGCTTAGCATCTGCGTCATCTGACCACTTCCTTATTAACTGAGTCAATGGTGCTTCCTGCTTTAGTTTTTGCTTATAAGTAGGAATCAGGAAGATAGAATTATGGTCAGATTTGCCAAATGGAGGGTGAGGGAGAGCTTTGTACGCGTCTCTGTGTGTGGAGTAAAGGTGGTCTGGAGTTTATTTTCCTCTGGTTGCACATTTAACATGCTGGTAGAAATTAGGTAGAACATATTACGTTTTCCTGCATTAAAGTCCCCAGCCACTAGGAGCGCTGCCTCTGGATGAGCGTTTTCCTGTTTGCTTATGGCCTTATACAGCTCATTGAGTGCAGTCTTAGTTCCAGCATCGGTTTGTGGTGGTAAATAGACAGCTACGAAAAATGTAGATGAAAACTCTCTTGGTAAATAGTGTGGTCTACAGCTTATCTACCTCAGGTGAGCAAAACCTAGAGACTTCCTTAATATTAGAGTTTGTGCACCAGCTGTTGTTTACAAATATACACAGACCGCCACCCCTTATCTTACCGGAGTCAGCCGTTCTATCCTGCCGATGTAGCGTATATCCCGCCAGCTGTACGTTATCCATGTCGTCGTTCAGCCACGACTCGGTGAAACATAAGATATTACAGTTTTTAATGTCCCGTTGGTAGGATATCCGTGATCGTAGGTTGTTTATTTAGTTTTCCAATGATTGTACGTTGGCTAATAGGACTGATGGTAGAGGCAGATTACTCGCTCCCCGTCGGATCCTTACAAGGCACCCCGACCTATGTCCACGATTAGGCTGGACAATAGAATGAGTCAAATTTCACCCAAGTCTGAAAAACGGCCAAAGAACGTTGGTTGAGCCTCTTTTAATTCATTTGCAAGGCCATAGCAAATGAATTAAAACTAACCTTCGCTGAGCCTCTTTTGACTGGAATGGTCCTTAGAATTCAATTTTCCCTAAATGGCACAAAAAAATGAATACCTTTTCATTTTACTACTACAATCTGAAAAATAACAACTTGTGTAGAAAGTAAACATTCGCACCTCGATGGTGCCAAGTGTGCTTATGTCTGCATAACGAGGAAGTAGGAAAAAATGGCAACTTCTGACAATTTCTGGTCAACGATCGATGCTGCTATTTGCCTTTTTTTGTGTTAGAAATGTTGTGGTTTGAACTAGGCCTCTATGGGAAAGCGTGGCAATAACTTATTAACTTCTCATTAGTCACAGATTGACTTCTCTGATGACATGGCAGGCAGGCAGACAGGCAGCACACCTGAATTTCAGCAAAGCAAAGGCTATTTAAAGAGCTACCAGATTTATTTAAAAAGCACATTTTCTGTGTCCAGTGTCTGGGTTTATATGTTAAGGGGGTGTTACTTTGGCATATAATGTTACCCATGTAAAGAAAGTGTTTTTTAAATAATTAACTAAATCTATGGTGTTTTATGTACAGTGGGGAGAACAAGTATTTGATACACTGCGGATTTTGCAGGTTTTCCTACTTAAAAAGCATGTAGAGGTCTGTAATTTTTATCATAGGTACACTTCAACTGTGAGAGACGGAATCTAAAACAAAAATCCAGAAAATCACATTGTATGATTTTTAAGTAATTCATTTGCATTTTATTGCATGACATAAGTATTTGATCACCTACCAACCAGTAAGAATTCCGGCTCTCACAGACCTGTTAGTTTTTCTTTAAGAAGCCCTCCTGTTCTCCACTCATTACCTGTATTAACTGCACCTGTTTGAACTCGTTACCTGTATAAAAGACACCTGTCCACACACTCAATCAAACAGACTCCAACCTCTCCACAATGGCCAAGACCAGAGAGCTGTGTAAGGACATCAGGGATAAAATTGTAGAACTGCACAAGGCTGGGATGGGCTACAGGACAATAGGCAAGCAGCTTGGTGAGAAGGCAACAACTGTTGGCGCAATTATTAGAAAATGGATGTTCAAGATGACGGTCAATCACCCTCAGTCTGGGGCTCCATGCAAGATCTCACCTCATGGGGCATCAATGATCATGAGGAAGGTGAGGGATCAGCCCAGAACTACACGGCAGGCTCTGGTCAATGACCTGAAGAGAGCTGAGACCACAGTCTCAAAGAAAACCATTAGTAACACACTACGCCGTCATGGATTAAAATCCTTCAGCGCACGCAAGGCCCCCCTGCTCAAGCCAGCGCATGTCCAGGCCCGTCTGAAGTTTGCCAATGACCATCTGGATGATCCAGAGGAGGAATGGGAGAAGGTCACGTGGTCTGATGAGACAAAAATGAGCTTTTTGGTCTAAACTCCACTCGCCGTGTTTGGAGGAAGAAGAAGGATGAGTACAACCCCAAGAACACCATCCCAACCATGAAGCATGGAGGTGGAAACATCATTATTTGGGGATGCTTTTCTGCAAAGGGGACAGGACGACTGCACCGTATTGAGGGGAGGATGGATGGGGCCATGTATCGCGAGATCTTGGCCAACAACCTCCTTCCTTCAGTAAGAGCATTGAAGATGGGTCGTGGCTGGGTCTTCCAGCATGACAACGACCCAAAACACACAGCCAGGGCAACTAAGGAGTGGCTCCGTAAGAAGCATCTCAAGGTCCTGGAGTGGCCTAGCCAGTCTCCAGACCTGAACCCAATAGGAAATCTTTGGAGGGAGCTGAAAGTCCGTATTGCACAGCGACAGCCCCGAAACCTGAAGGATCTGGAGAAGGTCTGTATGGAGGAGGGGGCCAAAATCCCTGCTGCAGTGTGTGCAAACCTGGTCAAGACCTACAGGAAACATATGATCTCTGTAATTGCAAACAAAGGTTTCTGTACCAAATATTAAGTTCTGCTTTTCTGATGTATCAAATACTTATGTCATGCAATAAAATGCAATTTAATTACTTAAAAATCATACAATGTGATTTTCTGGATTTTTGTTTTAGATTCCGTCTCTCACAGTTGAAGTGTACCTATGATAAAAATTACAGACCTCTACATGCTTTGTAAGTAGGAAAACCTGCAAAATCGGCAGTGTATCAAATACTTGTTCTCCCCACTGTATATGCGAATGGTCCATCAGTTTTATTGTTATGCTGTAAATGTTTATTTTATGGTTGTAAAATGAACTAGAAAATATTTTATATTCAGCAATTCTGAGTAATTACTACTTCAGTAAGGATATACACTTTATTCAGTGACCTTAGGTATAGAAACGTTGATGGTCTGATCAGATTGTTTAAAAAAATTAATGAACTGCAACTACTATATAATTCCAATAGATGGAAGCATAAGGCCACAAATGAAATTTCAGAAGATCCGTTTTCTCCATGGATACACCACTTAGTTTTGAAATTATACTTTGTTACTATAACGATTATCAATAAGCCTGAACATTAATTCAGTCACCTCTGGTCGACAAAAACGTATTTTCCTAGTACACTCATTGTCAAATGTATCAACCAGAAAAGAGACGCTCTGCCTTCTCGCACAAGTAGCCAACTCAACAAGATCTTATGCTCCCATCTATTGGAAATATTTAGCAATTAAAATTTATTCATTCACATAAAGACATTGGTGAGGCAGCTGAGAAATAAAGTGTATCCAAATGCTGGACTAGTTTTACCAGTCAGGTTTAGGGTTACTGTTAGGGTTAGGGTTACCATTACAGCTGTAGGTGCATTGTGTTACCAGTCAGGGTTAGGGTTACAGTTAAGATTAGAATTACTGTGACCATTACAGCTATAGGTGCATTGTGTTACAAGTCAGGGTTAGGGTTAGGTTTATGGTTAGACAAATGGTGACCATTACAGCTATAGGTGCATTGTGTTACCAGTCAGGGTTAGGGTTACAGTTAAGATTAGAATTACTGTGACCATTACAGCTATAGGTGCATTGTGTTACAAGTCAGGGTTAGGGTTAGGTTTATGGTTAGACAAATGGTGACCATTACAGCTATAGGTGCATTGTGTTACAAGTCAGGGTTAGGGTTAGAGAAATTGTGACCATTACAGCTATAGGTGCACTGTGTTACCAGTCAGGGTTAGGGTTAGGGCTAAAATAGGTTATTCCTAGGGTTAGGTTTTTTAAGGCAAAAAAACAGAATGGGTTTATAGCGCTCTTGTTACTCCCTGTGGGCTTCTGTGGGTACTACATAACTCATTCGCGACACTTGCTAGGCTCATAATCTGAGGTAGCAACTGCGTCAGATCTACCAATCAATGAGCTAGACCTTTCCATTTGCTTTGCAACTCAGTGAACCTGGGCAGCATTCGCTCAATTCGATGCCTACGAACAAACAGATTTCGGCGCATTTCAAATTACTCAGCAGCCATTTGAAAACAACAAATCGTTAAAAAAAAGGTTATTTCTTAATTAAAGAATGTATTCTGGCTGTTTAAATCGGCACATCTTGAAAAAGACGATACGGACATTGGTTTTGTTCAGGTTTACACCTTTTTCTGAAAAAAGATATGGTTAACCATGACCAGAAAATGTTTAATGTTTAATGGGTATGCGCCAACCTGTACGACGAGGATATGGGCCTTGTCGGGTGTCTGTAGAATATTCTTCATGTCCGACTCGTTGAATAAGAAATATTCGTCCAATACGAGGCGAGTAATCGCTGTCCTGATATCCGGAAGCTCTTTTTGGTCATAGAAGACGGTGGCAGAAACATTATGTACAGAATAAATTACAAATAGCGCGAAAAAACACATAATAGCACAATTGGTAAGGGGCCGTTGAATCCATGTAGTATTTTGTCAAATGTTTAATCATCTTAAATCTTAAATCTTTTAGATTAGATCCACAGAGGAAATTCATTTCCACAGCTCCCACATTTACATAAAAAGTAGCCTAGACTTGATTTTATATCTTTTTCTCCAAAGGCCTGTCAAACCTCCATAAGATCACAGTAGCAGGACAGTATGAGCTTCGTGTGGACCTCAGAGACAAGGGGGATGCAGCCTATGCCCAGTATGACAAGTTTTCAATCTCTGAGCCCCGCAGTCGCTACAAGGTCCACGTTGGAGGCTACAGTGGTACCGCAGGTAAGCCTTCCTTCTATACAACCATTAGATACCTAATACAAAGTCCAAGAAAGCGTCCCAAATGGCCCCCTATTCTCTACATAGCGCACCATTTTTGACCAGCGCCCAAAAGTAGTGCACTATAGAGGGAATAGGGTGCCTTTTGGGATGCACATCAAATAGATAGGCTAAACCTAAGTTATAAAGTACTTTACATGGTGTTAGGTGTGAGTATGATGTGAGCATGGATTCAAAGCCTCCTTTCTCAAGACTGATCACTTTCTCTCTGCTGCGCTGTGTAGGTGATTCTATGACCTACCACCATGGTCGCCCATTCTCAACCTACGACCATGACAATGACATCGCCGTCACAAACTGTGCCCTGTCCTACAAGGGTGCCTTCTGGTATAAGAACTGCCATCGCGTCAACCTTATGGGACGATATGGAGATGACAGTCATAGCAAGGTGAGCGCACATATTCTTGAAAGTACAAAACTAACAGCAATTTCTACATCCCATATTTAAAAAATACTTCTGTAGTGCAGTATGAAACTGTTGACAGAAATGTTAGGATACAAATTGACTGTGTAAAGGTAAAGGAGGAAATTCAAGGCATTTGTGTTAATAAAATAACTTGTCACTACTTACCTTACTCTGTGTTCTTCAGGGAGTCAACTGGTTCCATTGGAAAGGCCACGAGCACTCCATTGAGTTTGCTGAGATGAAGATCAGGCCATCCAACTTCAGGAACTTTGAGGGAAGGAGGAAACGATCGTAAACCAACCGACCGATCCGCGCACCGACCCCTCTCTTTGTCGCTCCGCTTCGTGACCCCTGAACCCGTCCTCCATCCTCTGCCCCTGCTGATTCCAGGGAAGCATTCCAAATGGCACCCTATTCCCTATGTAGTACATTACTTTATGGGCCCTGGTCAAAAGTAGTGCACTACATAGGGAATAGGGTGCCATTTGGGACACAACCCACACCTCCCTGCAGCTACCAAAGCCACTGCCAAGAGCCCAGCCACTTCAAATTACACCCCTCCTCCTGCTCACTCACAGAAATAAGCACAGATACAGTCAAATTCACTACAAATTCCACTATCCAACCCCTCCTGATACAAAATGGTTGTGTGCAGTAAAAATACTGTCAAAGCCAAATTGATGTGAAAAAAAATGGACTTAAACGCAACAAACCAAGCCCACACAGATTAAACATGCACCAAAGAGAGCATATCTATGAAACCCAAGTATAAAGCATTTATTTCTTTCATCTCACTCATAATGTTACAGCACTAAGTGGAGGGGTGCATTTGAGTCTGGTCTGGCACATTAACATGTAGAATACTGATGTTTTCTGCCTCTACAGTGTGTCCATCTCCTCCAGCCACAGTAGCTAGTTCATTAGGGTGTTTGCAGAGAGGGCATGGCTGTCTACATACATGTGGTCTTGTTTTAGTGTCAGGGCCTCTTCAATAATACTGGTAACCTCTAAACTGGATTATAGAAATTCTATTCTTTGAATAACACACCACCCAACAAAAGCACATACTGTACAGTACGTACATTCAATTCAATCATCTGGATTGAGGTGATGTTATTGATCTTCTGGATTGAGGTGATGTTATTGATCTTCTGGTTTGAAGTGATATTATTGATCAAAAAGGATTTTCCTCATAAACTGCAAAACTCATTAAAATGTGTATGTAAAGTGGAGAGAGCTCACAGAGAAAGCTCACAGAGAAAGTCCTATCTTGTCATTCATTATTCTATGTGTGACTCATCCTTTGTCACTTTATCTTTCCTTCTCTCCCGAAATCCCTTCTTCACCTCAACTTGCAAACTGTCATCTGAAATGATATGGGCAAAATTAATGACATTCTGAATATAGATCATCTGCTGCATCCCACACAGGCATACGTGGATGACATGATGTGTTTCCATTGATTGTGTGGGCCATGCAGGTGCTGTGCAATTTTCTCTTACACATTTACCTGAGCTAGTACTATTTGATCCTCCAGCTATCATGCATTAGCTACAGTCAATGTGTTTGATTTGTTTTTATTTCCTTTATAAATCCAAGGCAGGACCTATTATTCAATATATAATGAAATGTTGGGTGATTGTTACATTTTTGGAAAATGTGAAATACATATATGGATTCAACAAGAGTCAGAGGGGAATATTGTGTTGAAATACAAAAGATATGGATGCTGAAAATAGGCTAATGGCCAATTCCAATTTACATTGTAAGGTCACAGTGTTCACTCTGTTCTGACCCCCCACCCCCCCTCCATGCCAGGAGACGAAACCACTGACCCCACCCCCTCCACCCCCCATGGAATACCTGTGTAAATTAAACGTTTCTGTGCTTCTGTGGTTTAAAAAATGTTTTGGTTTATAACTGGGTGAACAACAGGTGTTTCTCTGTAAGACGTATTACAATAAAACAAAGTTTGTTTAAAAATGACGAGTCATCAATATTGTCTGTCTAAAGCTAAACGTTTTATAATGCACTTAAGACGCCGATCAGGTACCGCCATAAATGTGTTGGTTTGATATTTGGAGTTGGCTCATCAATAGCTCTTAGACGCACACGTGAATGAGCCATGGAGTCTCTGTATAGCATATCTTAAAGGCTATTTATAGCACTGAGAAGAATGCACACCTCATAATTAGAATGAGATTGTATTTTTATGGTAGGTGGCCTACACATGTAGGCCTATCGATCACATGTATTGATCAATGACGCGTGAAGGGAGCACTATTGCAGCGCAACAAAGCACCGCTGTTATGATACTGATGGTTCGCCGAGACTGATGGTTTGTACAGTTGTGGCTACCAGTACAGCTCCATCTAGTTGTGACGTCGGGGATAACAGTTCTTGACAGCTGTAGCGTTGTAGCTAACCCCTAACTCTTTAACTAACCTTAACCTTATTCTCATAATCTGCCGCGTTAATTATCCTAACCTGCTATGTAAACAAACCACCAGTGCTAACAAAACGTCAGTATCACCACACCGGCCATTACAGTTTGACCTGTATACTGTTTAGTAGTCAGAGCTTTTAAGGAGCTCTGAGTCAGAGAGAAAGCTATTTTCTTGGTTTCTCTTTGGCCTGGGAGTGGCAACACGGAATCATAACAAGGAAACGATGCAAGTTTGATGTTGTCGCCACCATAAACGCTTTTCTTTTGGCATTACAGGAACCTAGCAATTAATCCGTTTAGGAATAAAATCATTTACACTCGAGATACGGATTTTATATGATTACTTTGCAATGCTTAAAACGTCTTACTGGAGGTTAGTAAAGTTCTTTATCATTGCAGGTGTACTCACATTTGTTGTCAATATCTTACTGAACAAAAAAGCTCAGCCAAAGACAGACTTATCAACACCAAGTCCTCTGTCTCAAGAACTTTACAAGGTGATTTCCCCAGAGACCTACAAATATGTTGTCAACCATGCATCTGTGTGTAAAGACAGAAACCCATTTCTGGTGCTGATGGTTCCAGTGGCACCCGCTGATGGGTTGTCCAGGGATGCTATCAGAAAGACATGGGGCCGACCAGGCCTCATCTCTAATGTGGATATCCTCACTCTGTTCTATGTGGGCCTGCCCAAGGAGGGCCAAAGCTCCCACATTCAGCAGGACCTGGAGAGGGAGAGCAAAGAACACGTTGACATCATCCAAATGGACTTCCTGGACAGCTACCACAACCTGACTATCAAGACCATGATGATCATGGACTGGCTCGCCACCCACTGTCAGGGTGCCTCTTTTGCGATGAAGGTGGATGCAGACATTTTCGTCAACGTGTTCTACCTGGTCAATAAGCTGTTAGTTGGTGGTGGCCTTCTCAGGCATAAGTACATCACAGGCTCAGTCATCAGTGACGGCAAGCCTCGTAGGGATAGGAAGAGTAAGTGGCATCTGTCTGAGGACGTTTACCCTGAAGACACGTTCCCCCCATATGTCTCTGGAGCAGGGTATGTCTTCTCTATTGACCTGGCCAACATGATCTCATGGGCATCCAGGTTTGTGAGACCCATCCCCCTGGAGGATGTCTATGTGGGGTTGTGTCTCAGGGTACTAGGGGTTCGGCCTGTGTACTCCCAAACGCTGCTTCCTCCCAGGAACCTGTTTGAGATCCGTCGGTTGGATTATGAGAGGTGTACGTACGCCACGCGGGTCATTGTCACTGGATTTAAACCACATGAGCTGCTGGACATTTGGGGTGACTTTCAGAAAAGCCATCTCACCTGCTGATGTCTCAATCCAGTCTTTCTTATGCAATAAAAGGAATAACTAGCCCTTAAATGTGTATGTTCCTTTGTTTTCTAGTGGAGGCAATGTTCTTTGATGTCATACACAATATCTTGAACTTGACTGGTGTTTGTTGGTAAAATGATAAGCTAACATTTGGTGAAAGGTTTATTATCGACCTTTAATACTAAGGCAAAAAGTTAGTTGATGTAAAATTAGATGTAATCATGTCAAACGTAAGCAAGATCTGTAGTTACACTTTATAAACAGCTGGTGGCATAGTTCACCCACTTTCCTATTACAATGAGGTGGAAGAGAACGGATCAGCATCACAGTGCAATGGAGTGGGGTATCATGACCAGAATATCACTACAAGTCACATATGTTATTTAATCTTATCAATTGAAGTGCCTTCTGATCAAATACTGAATCTGTCCAATTACTCCAATTCATTTTTATCCTCTGCACTGAATAGTGTCATTGAACAAGTAGGCCACACTCCAAATTCATCTGACTATCTTTAATGCATTGTAATTTAACTGAGAAATGTTATAGTATAGTAATCCATATCATCATAATGAAATGTTTGTTGTTGGTGGTGACTGTTACGTAATTGCTGTGGGAAAAGAATGAAGTAAACGGAGGAATGAAGATGTCCTCAGATGCTGTATAATTACAGGGTGGTTGGATGGTAAAATGATGATATAACGATATAATCTCTCTGCAGCAGAAGAGAGATGTGTCAGTGAGTGGGCTCAAAAATAGGCTGATGATTCATGAACATTAGAGTCGGCAGCCTGCTTCTCTCAGCTAGCCTGCAGCAGATGGCTAACACTCAGGCTGTAGGACCAGTCACACTAACCATAGCACCACAAGACAGTGACAAACAACACATTTCAGCCTTCCTTTTGTTTTGCTACTCTTCCTTTGCCTCTGTTGTATTCATTTGATTCCCATCACTTTCAGAGCGAGTTTATGCTTAGGCTGGTCCACTCAAGCCTGTAAAACAACCTTGTTCCTCTTTCCCAGCTCCAATGTTACCTTCATACAAACTCTGTTTGACGTCACAATGTTTCTAGAAATATAGCTGGTTCATATAATGTATGTGAGTTTAGTTACAGTGACTGTCTATGTCAACACTGTGTTAAATGATTATATATTAAAGACATAGCTAGAATAATGTCTATGTCTTCAATACTGCATCATTTTACGGATTGTTATATTGTGTTATTGGGGGGGGGGTTCTGACCCGGGTTAAGTACGTGTAAATGGAACGTAATTCCCTTTTATGAACTTTTCCCTCTATGCGTATTCTGACCTTGAACTTAAGCATGAGAATAGCATGCTATTCACCTGCTAGTCGTTGGCAGTGGATATCAAAGAAATGAAGGTGTGGCGGAGGTGTGTCTACAGATACAACGTATTCTGACCTTTACTTAATTCCCTCATAATTCCACCACCTTTACGCACAATTAAATGTTGAATAAGGTTGAGCAACCTGTCACTACCAAGTGGAACAACATATACTTTATTTTCCCCTTAGAAATAACACCATTCTCCATGCACTGTAATTTACAAATTGATAAGAGCTATTGATAAGAGCTAGGTAAATGAGTAAGACGGATTAGGGGATTGTAAATATCAATGACAATTGTTTTAGATCTATTTTACCTTATGATCGCTGGAGACAAATGTGAAACCAGTCATATGGCAGCAAACTAAAGCATATCAACATATCACCTTTTCCACAGTGAAGTTTATGAAATGCTGGCCTTATAACTTGGGATGAAATTTGAGACCCAAGCTATAGTCTTCTGTAGCCATGAGGGGGGTATATCGGCAAACCTACTGAGTTGATGATTTCTAGAATGTTTTAATTATATACCCAGACTTTTCAATGTATTTTCTTTTACAATTTGTAGTGTTAAATATTAGCCACTATCGGTAGCCACGCTCAGTTATACCCACATACATTTATAATTGTCACTAACTTTATTTGTTAGTCTCCTTACATTTTGCATCATTCCATTACATCGTCAGGTTATCTTTCTTTCCTCTGTCACGTTCATGTGGTTGTTCCTGAGGATCGCAAGCAATAGTGGATCATATTAGGCTAACATATTGAAGGTTGTGCGTTAATTTGGGACATGTAGCCTATTTGAATCATTATGGAACGCAGACTATACATAGCAGTTTAAACCCAGACCCTGGCACACGGTTCACGACAACTGGACCATTTTCATCACAGTTTCATGATTAGTGAGGGTTATCAGGGTAGATTTATAGGGCTACTATTCAACCCCTATTGTACACTTTTCTCACCTTCCAATATTTCATGGATTGAACAATTGAATATGTCAACTTTCAGGATAAATTAAACCATTGTATTTTTGATTCATCAATATATTTTGTGCAAGGGCGGACTGACCATTTGGCATTTCAGGCAAATGCCAGATGGGCTGGTCCATTTTTAGCCTAGTGGGCCTATCTAACTTGTTTTTATTGCGCAAAATGATCATTATCTGACTAATAATGGGGGCCTCGAGGAAAAAAATGTGCCGGTGTGTTAGAAATGCCAAGGCCGATTTTTGGTCACAGTCTGCCCTTAATTTTGTGCGTAAAGGCTTTCCAAACCTGTTTGTTAACTTTACCTAAATACTTTCCTAACCCTAAATAATATAGAAGATCAGAGTATTTTTAAATCTACATATTGGTGCTGAAAGGAGATGAATATGCGTATATTTACATGGCTCTCTTTCATTGATCTCTAATATTCTGAACCGTTCCATATACACTACATGACCAAAAGTATGTGGACACCTGCTTGTCGAACATCTCTTCCCAAAGTCATGGGCATTAATATGGAGTTGGTCCCCCCTTTGCTGCTATAACAGCCTCCACTCTTCTGGGAAGGCTTTCCACCAGATGTTGGAACATTGCTGCAGAGACTTGCTTCCATTCAGCCACAAGAGCATTAGTGAGGTCGGGCACGGATGTTGGGCGATTAGGCCTGGCTCGCAGTTAGCGTTCCAACTCATCCCAAAGGTCTTCGATGGGGTTGAGGTCAGGGCTCTGTGCAGATCAGTCAAGTTCTTCCACACCGATCTCGACAAACCATTTCAGTATGGACCTCGCTTTGTACACGGGGGCATTGTCATGCTGAAACAAGAAAGGGCCTTCCCCAAACTGTTTCCACAAAGTTGGAAGCACATAATCATCTAGGATGTCATTGTATGCTGTAGTGTTAAGATTCCCCTTTACTAGAACTAAGGGGCCTAGCCCATTATTCCTCCTCCACCAAACTTTACAGTTGGCACTATGCATTCGGGCAGGTAGCGTTCTCCTGGCATCTGCCAATCCCAGATTCGTCCGTTGGACTTCCAGATGGTGAAGCGTGATTCATCACTCCAGAGAACGCGTTTCCACTGCTCCAGAGTCCAATGGCGGTGACCTTTACACCACTCCAGCCGACGTTTGGCATTGAACATGGTGACCTTAGGCTTCTGTGCGGCTGCTCGGCCATGGAAACCCTTTTCATTAAGCTCCCGACAAACAGTTATTGTGCTGACATTGCTTCCAGAGGCAGTTTGGAACTCGGTAGTGAGTGTTGCAACCGAGGACAGTCGATATTTACGTGCTACGCACGTCAGCACTCAGTGGTCCCATTCTGTGAGCTTATGTGGCCTACCACTTCGAGGCTGAGCCATTGTTGCTCCTAGATTTTTCCACTTCACAATAACAGCACTTACAGTTGACTGGGGCAGCTCTAGCAGGGCAGAAAGTTGACGAACTGACTTGTTGGAAAGGTGGCATCCTATGACAGTGCCATGTTGAAAGTCACTATGCTCTTCAGTAAAGCCATTCTACTGCCAATGCTTGTCTATAGAGATTGCATGGCGGTGTCCTCGATTTTATACACCTGTCAGCAACTGGTGTGGCTTAATTAGCCAAATCCACTAATTTCAAGGGGTGTCCACATACTTTTGTGTATATAATGTATTTTAGTGAGTGTCAAGAACATTCTAATTAAAGGTACACCAAATTTAAAGGGATGGCTTTAGATAAATGTACTGAAAACCCGATTGAATGAAAACCCTATGTGAAAATCTGTTGGCTAGCAAGTGGGTGGATTTTCAGTGGTTGAACAAAATGTATTCAGGGAGCACAAGGGAACCACCCCTGCAAAGCCCAATAAGCACCTGCATAAGGTAGCCTACTATAAATCTGAATACCAACTACTGAGAAGTGCATAAGAAAGGCTGCACAGGAAAGGCATACATTTCCTAAGTCTGAATTGGCCCCAGAATAAATGCATGAAATATATATATATATATATATATATATATATATATATATATATATATATATATATATATATATATATCCATTGTCTTCTATTGCAACTGATTTCATAATGTAGCTTCAAGCTTCTTATTGCAGATTGGGTGGAGACTGAGTTGAGCCATATCAACCGACGTAATCAAAGTTGGTTCCTAAAACAAACCATCAAACATGCATTTCATCAAGATTGTTTCACCCCCCTCCGTCGTGATACCGCTTTCAGACCGTGAACCCTGCATGAGGCGAGTGCGTTCGTTGGAGACTGAAGAGCCGCACACCCTACACGGAAACAGTGAAGCGCGCCCAGAATTCGGTGCCCAGTGAATTATATCCTGTGTAGAATAGAATCAAGACATTTCTGGGCGAGCACGTTACTTGCCTTTATAAACGAAGTGGACTGTTGTTATAACCATGTAAGTAGGCTACAGTTTATACCGATCAAGTATGTGTATGTCGTAAATAGATGTATCAAAGGTTGGAGTTGTAGCCTAAAGTTTCCCATCTTTTTCTAAAAACAACATATTGATTGAAGACGTGACGATTAGGCTACATACCACTAAGGTATAGAATAGAACATCTATGATGACTGAGAAAATGGCTGGCTCTTATTCAAGAAAATCTAATCTCATTTTAAAAGATTTGTCATATAGCCTACTTTGCTT